AGAAAAACCAAATTTTTTTGGTTTGAAAAAAAAAACTAAACCAAAAGAAGAAAGGAAAAAAATTTGTTTCGGTTTGAAAAAAAACGAAAAAGTTAAAATTATAGCCGTTTGCAAAAAGGTGTAGTCAGTGGTTTTTATCACATGTATGTATAAAGGAAATCGGGAAATCAAAAAATCAAGATCATTAACTAAATTTAGCTCAAAATTAAACTTTATAAGCCAAAATAAAATCAAACTCAAATTTCTTAAATTATATCCAAATTATAAAAATAATAATCTTAAGTAAACAAGGAACCTGCTTTGGGTGCCGAATGTGTTTGTACTGTGGAATTGACTTAAAATGTAAATGTATAATAACTAAGCCACCAAGATATATTATACGTTGTTTTAAATCCTCACTATAAACTGGAGGCATACTAAATAATTTATTTATAAAAGCCGTTAAATTTCATTTAAAATGATCGAAATTAAGCTGTAGAATTTATTTTTAACTTTATTTATGGTTTTTGGTAGTGATATATCAATGATATTTATCAGGGAATCTGGGGAAATCTTTAATATTACGAAGTTTATTCAATGATAAGTTTGAAAAAAGAGGAAATCTGGGAAATCAAATTCTGAATAATGTAAAATTTCATTAACTGAAATTGTATTAGTTGATTGAAATGTACTGTACAATAAATAGATGAGGTAGAGGCATGTCACGATTGTCACGGGTTTTAATTATATGGCATGAGATTGCAAGTTACACAATTCAAATTATTTATACGAAGACTAATCCAAACGTCAGACAAATTTTTTAGTTATATAGTTTTTTTAGTTATATAGATTTATCAAAAAATTTATTATAGATTTAATTACAAAATTATTAATATTGTTATGTATCTATATAATTAAAAACAATCTCGCTAAAAAAAAATTCGTTAAATATCAAAAAAAAAAATTTCACTCAAATTTACGGTATTAGTCGGAAATAATATTGAAAAAACAATCTCAATCAACAAAAAGAATTCTCAATAAAAAAAATTTTTCACATGAATCTATTAGTCAGAAACAATATCATTGACTAAAAAAAATCTCACTAAAATAAATATCAAAAAAGCCGTAGGACATAGTTCTAATCTGATTATAGTCTTGACCCAAACCAAAAAAAGAATAAACAATATTTTTTGGGTTAAAAAAAAATTCGATAAATTCCGATTAAAAAAAAAATCCCCTAAAAAAAATCCAATAAAAACAAAAAAAAAAGAAAAAATTTTGGTTAAGTTAACCAAAAGAAACAATATTTTTTTTGTAGTATTAATCCATAAAAAAATCCAATTAGATACGAAATCGAACGCACACTTTTCAATGTTACACAATTCAAATTATTTATACAGGTAATCTAAATATGACAAGTTTTTTAATTAGATAGATTGTTGGGTGTTAAACAATTAATTTATTTTTTATATTTATAAATCAATTGAGTTCAATTTTATATAACATCTATTTTTTTTATTTTTTTCATTTTTTTAATAAGATTTTAGTTACGAGGCAAACTCTGCATGTACAAAAAAAATTTACTTTATGCAGATCATTTTCTTATTTAAATACCCAAAAACAATCTTGGAATTCTGAGGTGGAATTCTTTACGGAGATATTTTTCCGAAATTCTATTATAATTATAAATACTTTCAATAATTTTTAATTTCTCGAAATTTCTTACTTCATTATTCAATAAATAAACTATATCATGAAAAACTCTTTTAATCCTACACCAAGATTAAAATCCAGTCCTGTGCCAATTTTGTTCATTCCTTTTTATGGTCAAAAGTTTGTTTGTGATAACTGTGAACAAAGTATATCTTCTCGGACACTATCTGGTCAAAGATTTTGTAAAAATTGCTTATTTGATTATGTTAATAATCTGACTGACAATAATATATACTTGGATGTTATATATGAAATTGTAGATCGATGTATAGAGCATAAGGATTCTGATACGCAAAATATTCAAGAATGGTGCTATAATTGTTCTTAAATTTCACATTTTAATCAAATAGCTGCAAAAGACAGATTTGATTATTCTTATCATAATACCTGTCTCTTATACACATCTAGATGTGTATAAGAGACAGCAGTCTAAATGTAGAAAATGTAAAAGAGTTATTGATATCGACGTTACAGGCATTGAGTATAATTTAAAAAAATTTACTTGTAGAATAATCACTAATAACAATATTGTTAATTGGGTGAATAAAATTAAACAAGGATCGAATTTGATGTATCTGGAATCATTCCAAAATCCAGATAATCATTCTTATCCTATTAAAGAAAATGGACAAATTCGATTTATTTCCTTTTGTAATAATATGAATAGGTGTAATTATTGTGGATTTAGTTATTCTTCAACAATCTTTTTTGAACAAAAGTATTGCAAATATTGTTTATATTTGTATTGCAAGAACTTAAGTGACAAAAATGTATGTTTAGATGTGCATATAATAAATGATACTAGTAATTCTCATTGTACTGAACATGAAAAAAATGGTAAAGCTGAAAAACAAAACAAAGAAGAAAGGAAAAGGTATTTAAGAAGTTTATTTGTAATAGTAACCTTGACAAATATACTCATACTCATAGTTTTCGATATTCAGTGAAGAACGAAGACGCCACCGAAGTTCGCCACGAACCTCTAGTCACCGCCATAGATCAAAAAATATTGAATCATATACACAAAATATTCAAGAATGGTGTATGAACTGTTCTGAGATTTTATATTTTAAGCAAATAGTTACAAAATATTCATTTGATATGAATTATTATTATGAAAGACAAAATGAAATAATCAAATGTGAAAAAAATTGTACACTATGTGGTCAGCAAAATTTATTAATCAATACTGAGTTTAGTTTGTGTCCAAATTGTTATTTAATTTCTTCTGAATGGATAGAATCTACTTTATCCAAAAAATCTATTCTAGTTCTTTATTTATCATGGTGTTATAATATTGAGCAATGTGTTGTTTGTTCAAAAAAATTACTTTCTGAGACATCAGATGATTGTCAAAAATGGTGTTCAAATTGTTTTACAATTTATGCTGAATGTAGATATTGTTTAACAACAAATATTATTTTTGGACTTACAAATCAATCTAAATGTAAAAAATGTGAAAGACTATCATTTATACTAAAGATATGGAAATTTTTATTGTTTCCGCAAAACATAATACTGATAATCACAATCTGATTGAAAAATATATTAAAAATAATAATACTTTCAATCCATTAAAGATATACAGCTTTATAAGTAACCTTTTTTATCTTGATGCAAAATATATTTTATATTCAAATTTAAAAAATAATGAAGACTTTTTTATAGAATTTATATTTATTCCTTATTATGATAGTAATATGTGTCGCAATTGTGGAAGGAAGTATTCTGTGACACCTTTATTTGAACAAAAATATTGTAAATATTGCTTATATTGGTATATTAAGTTTACAAAGTTTACAACCAAAAATATAATGGATGTACATATAATTACAAACAGTATAAAATGCACTGAACATGAAACAAGAACTTCGGATTTTTGTACACAGAGTATCCGTGAATGGTGTATGAATTGTTCTGAAATTTCATATTTTAAACAGATTATTACAAAATATTCATTTGATATGGAAAAACGAAGTAAAATGATTCAAGGTGAAAAGTGTAATCTGTGTGGAAATCTAATTGATCGACCAATTTCTTTTATGTGTTTGGATTGTTATTCAGTTTCTTCTGGATATATAGAATCAATTTTAACAAAAAAAAAAATTTTAATTCTATATCTACCTTGGTGGGATACATCTAGTAATTGTATAACTTGTGGAGAATATTTTAAATATACTAAATCTTACCGTCAAAAATGGTGTTCACATTGCTTTATAATTTATAATAGATGTAGATGTTGTTTAACAACAAATATTTTTTGGGGTTTACAATCCAATCTCAATGTATAAAATGCAAAAGAGTGGAGTTTATTAGTATTAATGGAAATCATAATATAGATGAATTTCTTGATTCCACTATTGATACTAATGATGAGATTGCTAAATATATGAATAATACTGATGACCCATTAAAAATATATGGGTTCATTAAAAATAAAGTTAAAGTTAGTTGTAAAAATATAAAAATGATTGAATATTCCGAAACTGAAGACTTTGAAAGAATAGCAGAAGGCGGATTCGGTATTATTTATAAAGCAACTTGGAATAATAAAAGTTTAGAATCATATAGTAGTATTGTTGCAGTAAAAAAATTTTTAAATTCACAGGATATCAAAGATTTTATTAATGAGGTAAATATGTAAAGTTAATATTTTATTTCTATCACCTAATTAAATTAACCAACAACTACCTTATATATTAGTTAAAATCATTTGATCAATATCATAATAGATATGAACATATTATTAAATATTATGGCATTACACAAGATCCTGAGACACGAGACCATATGATAATAATGCAATATGCAGATGGAGGAGATTTACATAATTATTTACAAAAGTGCTTTAAAGATATTACATGGAATGACAAGTTGGCCATTATATTAGAAATTTCAAGAGGGTATTTATTTATTTAATTATTATTAGTTATTATATGTGTTAATTAACTTTATTTACTTTGTTTTAGAATTGATTGCATTCATGAAGAGAATTATATACATAGAGATTTACATAGCGGAAATATATTATCAGTCAAAAATGAACACTCTACAAGTTATAAATGGCACATTGGAGACTTTGGATTATCACGCCCTGCAAATATAACTTCATCAAATAACAAAATATATGGAGTAATACCTTATGTTGCTCCAGAAATATTTGTTGGTAAAGCATTTTCAAAAGAATCGGATATTTACAGTATGGGTATGATTATGTGGGAATTAACTTCAGGTTGTAAACCTTTCGCTGATTCCGAACATAATGCTGATCTTATTCTTAAAATTGTTGATGGAAAACAACCTGAAATAACAAATGATACTCCTGAATGTTATGTTAATTTAATGAAAAAATGTTGGGATTCTGATTCTTCAAAAAGACCACATATAAAAGAAATTCGAAAAACTATTGGTATGTGGGTACATAAGATAAAAGATATTGACCAATTTTATGAAGCTGAAACAACACGACTAAAATTAATAGAAAAAAGGAAGCTTGGCCCTGAATATGCTGTAAAAACTCACTCTGGCGCAATTTATACTAGTAGATTATTAAACTCTTTGATTTCTAGTTCATCATCTATTAGTTCATCATCATCAACTTCATTTAATACGAAACAAGGTATTAATTTCATTATATTTATAATTAATTATTTGAAACACTAACGATTTATCAAAATTTGCAACTACATTTTTATATTTTAGAGTATATTTCAAAAGAACTTGCGTTTGATATTAATGATGCTAAATGGTATTTATATAATTTGAATTGTAAAAATTAAAACAGATATTAATGCAATTAATAATTTAAAATATTTATATTTAGCTCATCTTCATCAGAATTAAATTCTCCAACAAAGCAAGGTATGTGTAAAATTACAAAAAATAAAATTTTAAAAATTTAATTGAAACTTATTACAATACATTTCTTATTTCTTTATATTTCTTAGAGTATATTTCAAAGGAATTTGAATTTAATATATAATGATGCTCGATGGTATTAATTTGAATTATAAATAGAAAAGTTTAAATTAAGTAATGTAGCTAATATAGTTATTAATTTAACAATGTATATGTTTTAGGTCACCTTTACCAATTTTTCGAAACTCATTAAATATTCAACGTCCTGTAAATTCTTCAAGAAAGCGTAAAATGGCAAAGATATAACTGAAATATAAAATAGACTTTGCAAATTACATAAATGTTAGGTCGGGCAAAAAAAAATTTTAGATTCTCATAAAATTTTAAAAATGATACGAGAGGGCGGCTTGTTTTTTATATTTGAATTTTTTTATATGTATTTATTGTATATCATATGATTATCACGAAATAAATTGATATAAATTATAAATCACCAAGATCATTTAAAACTGTAAAATATCATTCCGAAGGACTTCCAGTTGAGGAAAATATAAATTTTATCAAGATGTGGTTATACATGAAATAGGAAGAAGATTATGGGATAATAATAATATCACCGCAATTTTTATAGGATTAAGATGTTAAACATAGGAGACTGCAATGCAGTATGGAAAATATGTTAATATAATGTAATAAATATAGTAGTTATAATAGCACATTAAAATTTATTATCAGTTATCCTCATAAGTTCATGCAGATTTTATTACATCATATTACTATGTATTAGCATAATAATAAAATTATTGGAGTTTATTATAAAAATTGCATGAACGGTCCCGTCAAACCGATAATATTATTATTGGATGATTTAAACTATTATTTAGTTTAATCATCCAATAATATATAATTATCAAATAAAATAGTAAATTGCTTGTGAATCATATATAAAAACCACGTGAAAAAAATTGAATATAAAAAAAATCCAGATTTTCGAAAATTTGATACGGGCGGGTTACGAAAATCTAAAAAAAAATTTTCCCAGCCTTATATATTATTTATTTACTTTCATATATTTTTTGAATTATATGTAACTATTTTTAAATACATTTTAAATGTATTATTTACCTTATTTATCTTTAATAATTTCTTCTGATTTGATTGTTATAAGCTATCACTATGCGCATAATTATTACTTTATCTTACACTTTTCTTCCTATTGATAAAAATCCGATCTATACGCATAAACTAATAGATTTCCTGCTGACAATATCTTATTATACATTGTTAGTGATATTGGATTGAAAGACAAACATAACACCTACTTTTATTTAGTTCAAAAATGTCTTACTATCTTGTTCCTTCCGTGATGTTTAGCGTAAGCAGCAGCTTCTCTTTTTTGATAAGCAGAATAGGAACTGCATTTTGTTTTAGCAGCTTGTTTACATTTATTAGCTCGTTTACGTCTAGTAATAACTTGACATTCGGGTAACTTGATTTTTAAGGACGGTTAGAAAACAGGATTAAAACAGATCGCGTGATTGCATTGTTTATTTCGTCATTCTGTTACAAATGAGTGGATACCGATATAACAAACCCATCATATAACGAACTCGAAAAATTTACAAATTATATCAAAAATTCTTAACAATGTTGTTATTCCTAAATTTAAGGCAATACTAAGAAAAGGAGAGATAAATTTCCACCAATAGAAGAAAATAAAAATCATAACATATATATATATATAAAAAATAATAATGTTTTTTATAACTAATATATCCTTACTAAATATCTTTAGTAAATTACCAAGAAAAGTAAAAATCCTGATATTCATCATCACATCGATAATTCTTTATTACACCTTCCTCTCTATATTTTTGAAGTATATTTAATAAATGATGATTAAAATGAATACTATCATTAACATCGGTAAAAAAATATAAAATAATTGATTCACGACCTCTCCAATTTTCAAGAAATAATTCTAAATCATAAGCAGAAATTTTCCAATCATTAAATATTCTAATCTCACGTAAAGATTTTGGAGCAAAATTTACCAATTTTTCTAATAATAAACTACTAGAATATTGATTAATAGAACCATCAATAACAATTTTTTGAAGTTGAAGAGATTTTTCCAATAAAATTTCAAATTCATTATAATCATTATCATTTATACCTAATGATAATAATTTAATATTAGGACAATATTCATAAATTGTATGAATATATTTTCCTGAATATAATTCATTATAAATAGTACTTCCAAGTAAAATTTCTGATAAATTTCCTTCAGTTTTTTTAATAATATCTATTGCTATATTAAGGGAAGAAATTATTTCTAAATGTAAAACTTGAAGGTATGAAAAAGTAGAAATTTCTAAATATTTTTCAAGTTGATAATCATAATTAGCAATATTTATTAATTTTAATTTTTTTAAATTAATTAATTTTGGTAAAATTTCCAATAAAAGGAAAAAATTATCTTCATATATTAATTTAAGATGAATTAAAGAATTAGCTTGTTTAATTAAAGCATTTCCAATTTTTTCATATTTAATAAAATATTCAGCATCATCATAAACTGAACAAACAAAACATTTTAAATTTTTTTGTACTTCAATTAATCTTGCTAATCCTGAATTATCATCTGGACATCTTTTTATAATAATTTTTTGTATTAATTTACAAACATGTGATAAACCATAAAAAAATGCTGAATCAATAATTGAATCACAACATAAATATGTAAGATCCCCAAGTGAATTTTTTGCTCCATTAAAATGATATATTTGATGTTTTAAAATTGATCCAGTATTCATCATATCTAAAATTTTAATTTTTGAACATTTATTAATTAATAATTTATAAATCTCTTGTTCCATAGCATGTATTTGATATTCTTCATTAAATCCAAAACTTAATCCATTATTAATAAAATTTTCAATTTTATGAAAATTTATATATTTACAATAATTAATATAATCGAATAAAGGTTTTTTATATTTTGTTGAAAAAATATAAATTCCTTGACTTTTAAGAAATTCTTGAGATTCTTTTGATAAAAATAATATAATAACATTTAATAATAATCTGCTATTAACAATAAATTTCCATGGATTTTTCCATAAAATTGGAACTGCAACTTCACACCAATGTCTATTTACTAATAAACATGAATATAATGATTTTTTTTCAATTGTTATTAAATTAGAAATAAATCGATTTTTATCAAAAACTAATTCTTCAAAGATTAAAGAAAGAACATCTTTATTAAGTATAGACATTTTTTTTAAAAAAATTGAAAAAAGATTAAAGTTTTGGCGAAAAAAAAAAAAGATGTGCAGTAAAATTCTTTCCATTTATATTTAAATGTGATTACACAAAATTTAGACCAACGATGATCATTATATAATACAAGGGTTTAATTGTCAAGAATTCATTAGCCAAAATAGGAAGGATAAATCAATTAAATCACGTTATTATGCAGCCAAATAGGAACCTGATTAATCAAACGTTCTCCGAATTTGTTGATCATGTCACTTTTATATTGATAAATAAATTATAACTTTGGTATTTTTGACGCATAACGTCATTTAGGATTAGATATCACATATATTAATTCATATATTAATTCATTACGCTAATGTGCTAATAAATAAGCTTATAGAGTTTATTATTTTTTTATATGGAACACGATCTTGGACGTCTGCATTATAACACAGACCGATCGGTCTTTTTTCTTTTTTTTTTTTTGCAAATAAAAAAATTTTTTTAGCTTTAAATTTGATATAAAAAATCATCTATTATATGAAGACCGGTATGAGGACTGGTCAGTTCTCAGGACCGGCCCTACTGTGCCATAAAAAAATGCAAGACCGTCGTCCGGTCCTACAAGCCCTGAGACCGACCCGAGTAGGACCGGACGACCGGTAGGACTGATGACCATCCTTAATTCGAACTGCTTCGCAGTTCGGTGATATTTCAAACCCCCCTACCCAATAACTATTATTTAGAAAAAATAATAAAATCTTTCTTATTATTGTGCCATAATATTTCAAATATTGACTCACATTGACTTTTATTTTGCTCGATTGATGAGTCAATTTCTCTCTCAATTACGCAAATCTATTAATATACAGTATATATACCCTTTATTTAGTCTTTTTATTTTACTTCTTTTTAAAAATTCTTCACCTTTTTATTTTATTTCATTTTTTTTTAAAAAAAAAATGGCAAATCTCAATAAAGACATACTTCTCTTGATATTAGAAGAATTACAATATGATAAAAATTCTCTCTATTCATGCCTTTTAGTTAATAAAATTTGGTGTGAAACTACCGTTCCAATTTTATGGAAGAATCCTTGGAAAGATCTGCCACGGGGAAAGGAGAAATCACAATCTAATGTATTCGTTTCACATTTATCAAATGAAGTAAGAGAAAAGTTAAAAAGAGAACATGGAATAATTTTACCAAAAGCGATGAAACTCTCATTTAATTATATTAGTTTTTGTAGATACCTAGAATTATATAGATTAGATAGGATAACTTTTACCATCAAAGATATTAAAATGTCCAAAATTCCCTTTATGAAACTTGAAATAGCGAGATTATTTATTAATAGAAATACAAGATTCACTCATCTTTATTTACATCAATGTGATCTTCAAACAAATCTTATTCCAGGTATTGAAATTTGTTTCTCAAAACTTAAGTTTCTTCGATCTCAACCTAGCAATTTTTTATGTGAATTATCTGAAATAAGCGAATCGATAGAGGAAATAGAATTTTATATTACAGAATATAATAATAAGGATAACTATGGAATAACTAAATTAATTGAAGCTCAAAAAAATCTTAATTATTTCAGTTTTACATATGGAAAAGGAGACAAATCACTTTGCAAGACTCTTGGGGATTCATTGATTAAACATGCGAGTACTCTTCAATATTTAAAAATAGATCTGGAATTAATCACAAAAATAACAAAGTCACTTTCATACCTTTTAAATTTATCTAATTTAGAAATAATAAATCCAAATAATCAAAGAGCTTGGTATCATATAGAAAATGTATCATTTCCTTTTTTAAAATTTTTAAAAACTCAACAGGTTTCAACTAAAAGTTTAATTGGCTTAATTGAAAATACAAAAGGTCATCTTATGGAATTATGTATTGATTATGAAGATAATGATGAAAATCTTATACAAGCAATTTATAAAAATTGTCCAAAACTCAAGTACCTTAAATTATCAATTACAAATAGTTCTATACGTAGTATTAAAGAATTAGATAATCTCTTAATTAATTGCCAATATTTAAATGGTTTAGTTATTTATATTCGTAAGAATTTTGATTGGGATAATTTCTTCAAATCATTAATTAAATCATCTCCAAATAGTTTATTAAAATTTAAACTATTTTCTTCTATTTGGGATAATTATAGTCCAGAATCTTTAAAATTATTTTTTGACAATTGGAAAAGTAGACATCCTATGTTGTTACATACCAATTTACCTAATAATGAAAAAGAAAAATTTGATTTAATTAAAAAATATGTAGCAGAGGGAATAATTATAAAACATGAAAATGTATCGGATAGAACTATATTTGAAGATTTTGAATGGACTTATCCAACTCAAAAATCTGTCTCTAAATTTGAATTTTTAGAAAGTAAACAAATAACTAATTTGTGATTGCAGTAAATAAAATAAAGTGTATTCAGATTTAGATGTTTGGGTTCACGTACCTGCTGATATTTGTTCATGAGTAGTATAATAAAATTTCAAATACAGTACATGCCATGATTAATATATAAAGAAGATTTAATTTTTATGTTTTGGTGTATTAAGATTTTTGCAAATACGAATAACATATATATGGTCGGTTCAACCGGTGAGTGAATTAGAAAAAAATATATTACAATCGATAGCAACATTTTCAATTTCGACGAATTTGAAAAATACTTAATTTTATTAAATATAAAACATAACTACAAAAAAAAACCTTAAATTCTTTTTTTGGATAAACTTAGTCTTATTATTCTTAAAAAAATAAAAAAATAAATTATATTCGTTTTATACTACCATGATTGCATATTAGCGGTAATTATCCGCACCCACCGCATCCACCACATCCGCCACATCCACCACATCCACTACTACATCCACCACCATCACCACAATTGACACCGTAACCGCCACATCCACCGCCGCATCCACCACACTTACCATGTGACTTAGTTACAGGAGTACTTTCGTTGACTCCACATACGCCTGAATACTTATACAGGCTACAAATACAAAAGATTTTAGAGTTTATAAAACTACAAATTTCAAAATAATATTGCTACTTACTTGTCCGTGTCTTTTCCTTTGTCTTTTTTATTATGTTTTCTATTCTTTTTATTGGTTGCTTTTCGATACTTTTTCAATCGATAAAGAACCAAAAGACCATAGGGTGGTACAATGACGGACATAACCTTTTTTGTTGTGGTTAACCAATACTTTGATGGACATACATGTGTGTACGGTTCATGATACTTCTTATACCAAGCTCGAGCCGTAACCGCAAACCCATTTGACAAAACTCCCTTGGTTAATGTATCATCATGATTAATAATACGGCCGATATTCTTTTGAGTGAACGCACGGTAAGATGATGCATGAATTTGATGTGTGTGCCAAGCCAGGTCAATATCAAGAGTGGGCACAAGTAGCGTATTTTGTTCTTTCATTAACGATAAGAACTTATTGTATCGTATTGTGGCATTTTTTTGAACCTCTATGCAATCAATCCATTTATTATTAACCATCTTTTCTGTAAATTCACGTTGTCGTCGCACAGCACTAATTAGGTCAATTGAAAATGGGGATGGAATGCCACTATAGGCAAATATTATTCGTCGAACAATTTTGGCCCTTACGTCTTTAAGTTTTTGTGTTTTTCTCAAATCTTTTATCTGTAGATTAAGTTGTTTAATAATATGCTTCCAGTTGCATTTTTTCCAATTAGTTGATTCTGGAAAAGTAAGATTACAAATGTGAGTGCTTTGGGCTGTGAATAATAAGAGAGAATCATTGGTAGCAAGTGTTTCTGAGTATGAGCCGTCCTTCAGATCAACCAAAGTACCACTGAATTAAAATAATTAACTAATGTGTTAAAAAATATGTATTTAAAATGTAAGATGCAAACTTAATTTTTCGGTTTTCATAATTTGGAAATGACCCGGCAACCCGGCTTTTAATTTTTTTTTTTCAAAAAATTTTATATGTAATATTCATATGAAATTTTTTTTTAACTTTTAAAAAAATCTTACCCGGTATACATAGTAGTAGCATAAAAAATTTTTTAAAATTTAACAAAAACTGATCCGGCCATAATATGAAAATCGAAAAATTAAGTTGTATGGCCTAACTTTGAAATAATAAAATTATATTTTTTACCCGATGTACTGAGTTTTATATTTATTCCAAGAACTAATGTCATCAATAAATCTTTTGGCACCTAGAGTTTCGACGGAATATGGTGCGCGGCATTTAGGACATTTCTCATCTGCCTTAATAGCCTTCATAAGATTCACGTAATTCATCCTATATACCAACATCGAGTTGAGAATTATATAAATTAAATAAATTAACACTAAGTTCGATTGAATATTTCCCTACCATGAAATTTGTACATCTTCCTTACACCAAGGACAATTTATTTTAAAATCAGAGCTATCATTTGGATCAAGTACCCAAGGTTGTTTGGTCCTTTCCGCCCAAATACTTTCGGAATTGGAATCAGTATGACCGTTATTTTTTTCCCAAATATCATGCTGGTTATAATAAGAAATTAAGAAATTAATGTTATTGAAATGAGCGAATAATATAGTAAGAAAAGACATTCACCAGTCGCTTCAGAGGAAAATCCGGGAATTTTTGTTGAGGATCGTAAATTCGAAGCATATCTTCATAGTATCGCAGTGGTGAAAGTAAATGTGAATGCCAGATATAGCAAACATCTAATTTGAAAATTTTATTAAGTGAAGAATTTATTGAGTAAAGAATAATCGGGTCCAAAAAGTTTTTTAATAAATAATTTCTTTTGTTCACCTATGGGCGGGATTGGCATATTATCATCATTAAAATTTCGACTACCCAGCAAATCCAACCATAGTATGTAGCGTTCCTGTGCACGTAACAAGTATCTCATATCAATCTGTTCATCTGGTTGTTCCAAATCCTTTAATTTCGTCAAAAGAGCTAAATGTGCACGCAACGTAGATGGATTTACTATATCATTAATGTCAAGCGCCAGAGGCTCTAATTCTTTCACGGGAAATTTTTCTTCGGACATTAATTTTATTTCATAAATTATTGAGTGTAGAGGCTAGATATTTATAAATTAATAAATCGTGATGTCGTATTCCCACATGATTTCTTTATTTGTGACACTTGGATTTCTAGAAATGAAATTGGACAACTTTAGCCTTCTCTTTATAAGTTCGCTTTTAGTAATATTTTATTAGATTTATTTTCTTTTTAAAAAAAAATATCTAAATTTATCGAATCGACTTATTTATAGTAAAAGAAATTTCTTATTATATTTATATTTTTATAAAATAGAGTAACGCGGATAAGAGATTATTTGTTCACATTTACATTTTGTCTTATTATTTGATTCAAAATAGAAGAGAGTCAACCAAGCTATAATTATTTCATATTTCAATATTGACATTTTCACGACGTAATGTTTACTACAATCTCGGCTGAAGAAATATTTTTCGCATCATGATTATTGATTGCGCCTCTGAAAAAAAAAAATTCATTTGAAGATATGTACAGTATATTAGATAAAGTAATTTATAAATTCGTCGAAATAGGACCCTAACACAGAAATCATTGTTCATAAATACTTGTTACTTTAAACTTTTTCAGTATCTAACTTTGTATGTTTAAGTAATTTTATATTTTAAGGAGTTCTTGAAATGTTTTAATTTGCGAAAAATTGGTCATTTTCTTATCTAGTTCACTAAAATAGCTATATCCGCCGGATAAAATCTAAACAGTAAGACTGCAAAGTGCACAATCAGCTCTCGATGTAACGAACTTTTCCGGGTACTGTATTCGTTACAAGATTATAGCGAAAATTTAAAGAATTTATTCGTTATAACAAATCGTATCTGATTGGCTGGAAATCACATGAAAAGAAAATTCATCTATGAACAAGTTTCTTGATTTTTTTTATATGACTATATTTCATAAAACATTCATACATATATTTGAAAAAGTAAAAGACGACACATCATTTGTTCCAACAATTGTTCTAACTATTATGAAAGTATTATTAAAATAAAAGAGATAATTCAAATAATTTATTAAATTTTGCTACAATTTATTTTAGTTTCCAAAAAAAAAAAAAAAATAGAAAACAATTTAACTATTTTTTCGACCGAGATTACATCATTATACATTCATATCATGTACTTGGATTAAATCAGTTTTTTCGAATTATTCTTAGAAATTATTTGATTAACTCTTTATTTCTATTAAGTATCCTGGATGTAAAAATTGTTCACTTTTGATTGAGAAAGTTTCTCTATTTTCTTTATCATTCCTCTATATATTCTTTTAACGGATGGAAAAAGTAATCAGACCCACCTATTTTATAGTTATCGAATCCGAACTATTCAATATTCATTAATCAACAAAATATTGTATATGCCAATAATATATAGTAAAAATAATATTCATCATTGGCTTTAATAATCCAAAAAGTTGTTATTAAAAAAGGTTATAGTGTAATAGAAATTTTTTTTTTTCGTTAATTTAGGAACGTAATTTATAAAATTCATTCATTCATCTTGTGCGCATAATATCAATAAAATTATTTATCTTAAAATTGATCCCAATTATAAATTAAACAATTCTATATTAAAATTTACACGTGAGAAAATGACCAACCCTTTATAAACATATACAGTCGGCTCTCGATATAACGAAGTTGGTGGTTTGGCCAATCAGGCCTTCGTTATAAGAAAATTCGTTAATAAAATATAAAATATAGCGAATTTCGATATAATGGGAAAATCTGGTATAACATATGAAACTTTGGTATATTGTGGTATCTTATGTTATGTACAACGTATGTTACACAAAATATCTTCGTTGTATTAAAAAAAGTTCGTTATAAAAAGAAATTCGGTATAAAAAGAGTCATTTTATTATGTACAGTTTATAGACTTACTTCGTTAAACGGTATACAGCATTTAATTAGTAATATTCGGTATAGCAAATTTTTTTTTATATGCTAAAATTGGCACAACACTAAAGATTCGTTATACCAAATAATTCGTTATATCAAAATTCGTTATAACGAGAGCCGACTGTACAAACATATATAGCGATAAATACTGTATATCAGTGATTTATCTAAAAGAATGTCCGAATACGAAATATATTTATTGTTAATAACTGAAAGTCATTTATTGTGGTTCATAAAAACAACTCTGATGTTTTCATTGAATCTAGTACATATTCCTCTTTTATCAGTTTCGAACAAAGTCATAGTGCGGGCCAAAATTTCCTCAAACGGTAATAGTGCAGGCAGACTATATGTTAGAATTACCGATCACGTGCACTCGAGTTAAAAATCTTGAGAGCAAGTCCAAGCTCTAGACCTCTAGTCTAGAAAAGGAATAGAAATAATTATTAATTATTAGCAACTTTTCATACTATTATTTTAACTTAATTAGAGATTCTATATTCTATAGTAAATATAATGGCATTATTTACAAGTAACTGATGGTGGATCATCGAATTGCTTCTTGTTACTAGTTAATCTCCTGAACTATATTACTATGAAATTTCAATTCATGAAATAATTTTATTGAAAGAATATTCAAAATATCAGTCACAAAAATAATATTCGAAGACTCTGATTGATTAATTTTATCCAATGCGCATGGAATCTAGCTTTTATTATCCAATTTGAATGACACATTGTTTGTTTTTACTTTGATAGTGAACATAAGAAAAAAAAAATGATGCCAAATATGTATATATATATGTATATTAGTATATACTGTATGTATATGCTGAAACAGATGATTTTTTTACTTAGAGTTACACTACATGGACCCGGTTCCTGTGGTAACATGAGATTCTAATTGTACGGGAAATATAGGATCAAGTAAAGAGTTAAACTAGAAATTAAAAAAAAAAAGTAATAAAAAAGGTTTGGTTTGATCGGCTCTCATGAAAATTTTCGGGATGATAAGTTAGTCAAAAGGACTCAGATGTCCGTCCGGCACGTGATGATTGATGATGTACAACAAATAAATCTTAAAACAGCACTTAATAAATATACAAACAACTCCCTATCCTGTCCTCTTGGCGCATTTCGGATGAAAATTCCGAGTTCATTAAAACGCAGAAAACGGAGTCGCATGAACTCATGTTTGATCCTTTTTGAACCGAGATAGTTAAATCGAATTAACGTACGTAATCGATCAGCTGCAGGAAATCTAGGATAACATAATTACGTCCATTGCCGTGTAATTAATATTACTGTATATATAAAAATTTTTTTTTTTTTTTTTTTTTTTGAGCTTTAAAGTAAGGGAATAATAAANCCAAGTTTCCGGAGAATTTTTTTTTTGTAATGCATTTTTACACCAGAAATTTCCATGTAGTGTGCCTCAAACTCGGGTAGTATATCCGTATATTCCGAGACTTATTACCTAAATTATGAAACAAGATTTCTATTTTTCATAGTATTTATGAAAATTATACTTTTATAGGATAATTGATATCATTGTGTTCGTAGATCTGAATTAATTAGTATTCTCATTGATTTCATTTGCGTACACAGAGATCACTTGATAGCAAATGTGCATAATTAAAAAGGAAATAATTTCAAATGATTAATGCATGCCACAGATCTACAGTTATTTTTATGTTTCAAATATAAGTCCGAGTTTTATAATTATTTAAGGGTTCCTCAACTATCCCTTTGTAAGAAATTCATTCTATCTTCATGATGATTGATGAAAATGATCATCAGTATAATCCTAAAGCAATTAAAACTTCGACTTCTTGTGAACAAATTGTTTCATTAAATGTTAATGATCGAATATTAAGCAATCATTTAGGATCTACCTCTTTGTCGTCACAAACTCAATCTTGGGAGTCTATTTTAGAAAAATCTATAAATGCTATTGTATCCATAAAAGCAAATTGTGTAAGAAGTTTTGACACAGAGGAATCCGGTGAGTATTTGTTTATCTTACTTAAAAAATATAACACAAATATAACACAATTTTCAAACTTAATTTTTTTTTTTTTTAATAATTTTAGATGAATATTTTGCTACGGGATTTATTGTTGATAAAGAGAGAGGGATTATTTTATCAAATCGTCATGTTGTTTCACCAGCACCTATTGTGGCTCAAGCTATATTTAAAAATTATGAAGAAGTAGAATTAAAACCAATATATCGTGATCCAATTCATGATTTTGGATTTTTTAAATTTGATCCATCCAAGATTAAGTTCATGGATCTAGTACAAATCCCTCTTTGTCCGGAAAAAGCAAAAGTTGGAATAGAAATAAAAGTTGTTGGAAATGATAATGGTGAAACTTTATCAATTTTATCTGGTACTTTAGCAAGACTTGATAGAAGGTAAGAATTTATTGTTATTATTAGAAATTTATAACTTTTACACTAATTATTTTAATTATTTTAATTACATTTAATAATAAGAGCTCCAATGTATGGTACTGGAAATTATAATGATTTTAACACCTTTTATTTACAGGCAGCATCTGGAACTAGTGGAGGTTCTTCAGGTAGTCCAGTGCTCGATATTGAAGGAAATGCAGTTGCTCTCAATGCAGGTAGTACAAGAGAAGCATCATCTAGCTTTTACCTTCCTTTGAATAGAGTAAAAAGAGCTCTCAAGTATATTCAAGAAGGAAAAGAAGTTCCACGTGGAACTCTTCAAACAGAATTTGAATACAAACCTTACGATGAACTCCGACATTTGGGTCTTAAATCAACTATTGAAAAAGAAATTCGTGAAAAATTTCCTGAAGAAACTGGATTATTAGTTGTTCGTATTGTTTTACCAAAAGGTCCGGCAGATGGTCTACTTATACCCGGTGATATAGTTATTTGTGCAAATAAAAATATGATTGCCAATTTCACACAATTATTTTCAATAATTGATGATTCAGTTGGAAAAGATATTGAATTAACAATATGTCGTGGAAAAGAACAGATAGATGTTAAGTTAAAAATTCAAGATCTTCATTCTATAACACCAAATCGTTTCGTTGAAATTGGTGGTAGTATAATTAATGAGTTATCATATCAACTTGCTTATTCTTATTCATGGTCTGTTGGAGGTCCATATATAGCTGAAAGTGGTTATATGTTTAATTGTGCATCAGTTTGGTGCATGAGTATCATTACTAGTGTTAATAATATCCCCACACCAAATTTGGATGAATTTATCAATGTTATGAAAACTTTGTCAGATGGTGCTAGAGTACCAATAAAATATTATCATTTATCTAACGTTAATAATGAATATACTTCAATTATATGTGTGGATAGACATTGGCACAAATTTAAAATAGCCGTTCGTGACGGTACGTATTTAATAATTACTTTGAACTTTTTGCTTTTAATTTATATGTTAACAATATTTATTTATTATAATTTAAAGATACTACTGGATTATGGAATTATGAGGAAATGCCTCCTCCTTCATCTATTCATACATATAAACCTGAAACAGCGCAAATTCAAACTTTGGATGAATCATTACAACCTGCAGGAAAAATTTGGCCTTCGCTCGTTATAGTTAATTTTTGTTTACCATATAATGTCAATGGATTAAGAAATGGACAAAATACACAAGTAAAAACTTTTGGTTTATTTTTTATTTAAAAAAACTTTATTATTACATAGCTTTTAACCTTTCTTTATACCTTTTTTTTTTTTATCATATAATTTACTAAGTTTTATGGTGCAGGAATGATAGTATCTACTGAGCCACCTTTAATTGTATGTGATCGATATACAGTACCAATAAGCGTTGGTGATATTTTTATCACCTTCGCTAATAGTATTATTATACCTGGAAAGTTAGTTTATCTTAACCCTTTATATAATTATGCTATTATCACATATGATAAAACATTATTAGGAGATACACCTGTCAAAGCCATTGAATTGAGCGAAAAAGAATTAACGCAAGGCGATTCTGTTTATTTAGTAGGAATTTGTGGTGATTATACACCTATAGTAAAAAAAACTACCGTGAAACGTATTTCAAATGTTTATATTTCAAAATGTTACCCTTTAAGATGGAGAGCTGTGAATTTTGAAGATATAGAATTGGATGATTATGTAGAATCAATAGGTAGTAATAAGATTTTATTTATATTCACTATATTCATACCAATAATAACTAATAATTTTAATCTAGGTGGTGTATTATGTGACAATGATGGGAATGTACAAGGATTATGGTTAACTTATTCTTCACAAGATAGCAATTATAAAGACATCACACATAAATGTGGATTTTCAATATCTTTAGTAAAACCAACTTTAAAATCATTTAAAATTGATGAGGTTCCAAAATTACATAGTCTTGATGTTGAATTTTGGACAATACAAATATCAAAAGCAAAAGACTACGGTTTATCAGATGAATGGGTTAGAAAAGTTGAATCTATGCCGAACACAAAAAATAATATGTTAACTGTATTAAGTATACTTGATTCAACAAGTCCTTCAGGAAAATTATTAGAAGTGGGTGATATTATTTTGACAATAAATGGTAATATGGTAACAAAAGTATTTGATTTGCCTACGGCCTTTCATTATTCGGAAGAAGTTGATGTGGTAAGTATTTAATAATTTTTTTTTAAAATCATAAATATATATTTCATTTTAATTATAATAACTTGTTTGTTTGTTACAGTTAATATTACGTGATGGAAAAGAAATGAATATCAAAGTAGCAACAACCCCACACTACGGAAAAGAGACAACAAAGATCATAGGGTGGTCAGGTGCAATTATACAAGAACCATATGAAGCAGCATTAGAACATGTTAAAAATGTACCAACAGGGGTATATGTATCATTTAGATCTGATGGTTCGCCATCATTAAAACTAAGCCAAGGGGTTTGGATTACCGAAATACAAGGAAGAAAAGTGAGCGATCTAGATTCATTTTTAGAAGCAATATATGCACACGAAAAAGAAATTAAAGAAAAACCCGAAGAAAATAATGATGGATATGTGCGTATTAAAACTGTCAATAATACAAATGTTACGAAAGTTGTAACGATGAAATTGGATCCACATTATTGGGGTATTTGGCAGTTAGTTGAAGATAAAGAAGCAAAGACGGGATGGAAATTTATAGAATCTTAATAATTTTTGTATTTATTGTCCGGGGCAATGCGGAGGTCCGAAGACGAAACTACAAATTTTGTTTATCTCCTGCAAAACATCCTTTCACGAAAATTACCACCGTTTCTTTTTGAAAAATCTCTCGGCATCATGTTATTTCCTTTTTGATTCTTGAAATGTGTTTACTTCAGCCCTTCGGTTGCGACGGACTTTAACAGTTTCCGTTTTCCTAATTTATTTATTAGATATTTTTTTATTTTTCTAGAAAAAAATTATTATTTATTTTATATTTTTGTATTTTTTATTACTGTTGTATGTATGATAACTTCATATGATCGTAAAATCATAATCTTCTTCATATTAAATTAAACAATCATAGAATATAAATATACAATAACTTCGATATTTCAATCCCAATAATAAGAAATTTTGAAAATTTCGATTTTCGACAACTTTGATAAATCAAGAATTTTACATCTCAAGTTGAAACTTGCCCTGAATTTATATACCTACAAAAAAGTATATTAATTATTACATAAGTTTATAAGTTTATTTGTTTTATGTAACTTTTCTGCTTCCTTATATATGTGAACTACCCGTAACGCTAGGGTGCGCGGTCAACTATGTAAATCAAAAGTATATCAAGTTACCTAATATTTTACATACTACGGTAGTTAATATTTTTAGAGTTTAAATTTGATTAACGAAATTTTCATAATAAAAAATGACCCATTTTTTTTTTTTGGATGCACAGATCGAACAACTTTCTCAAATATTTTGACACTTATTAGTTTCTCCAAACCATATTTACAAAATTATGAAGCCTTTTTTTTACGTTAACTAGTAAGTTACTATTTTACAATTTGAACTTTAAGTAGTTTGTCTATCTTGAAGTCTGATTTTTTTTAGGAATTTTATTATTAATGCAAGAAATGGCCTCGCGTAACTTTGTTAATAAAATCGTATCCTTAATCTTTATATGCTTTTTTTCTCAAAATGCAGAATCGTTAAAGCTGCACATCTAATTGAACATGAAATATATACATAATGGGTAGTCAAAATCATGTCGTATTATCCTTTGCTAAATTAAAATCATTTGCATTATCATTATTACATTATTGATATTATCGTCATTATATTAATTTGTATATATTGCATTTGTGATATTAAAATTTTTTATATTGTCATTATTATAAAAAAAATATATTTTTTATATATAAACAGATAACTTCATATTTTTATTTACATGCCCAACGCGCAGAACATTTATATCACGTGACATTTACTGTAAACTCGAAAATTCTCAGACTAACCACATCGAGAAAAAATTTTTTTTTTTTATTCCTTTTATTCCCGAGACGGCAAGACCCAAGCACGTTGTTTGGCGTTGTGTCTTTTTATTTATATAGTTAAGTTATATGCTTTTAAGGATAGTACTAATGTGTCGTTCTTGACCTGTGCAACGGGTACTTGCGCATAATAGATGAGGTCAGATGATGCCACAGGTAAGGTACTTTCGCAAAATCTAGATTTATTTGTACAACAGTACAACTGCAGTAATTAACTATTTAAATACTCCTTACTGGGGCGCTCTGCTCTTCCGCAAAATGATTGACGAAAATGAAGATCCTCAAGCTGCGGCCGAACAATTGAATTATAATGAACGAATAACGAGTGATCATCTAGGATCCAACTCTTTATCAGCACAAATGACGAAATCTTGGGAGCCTATTTTAGAAAAAGCTATAAAAGCTATTGTATCCATAAAAGCAAATCGTGTGAGGAGTTTTGATACCTCAAAATCTGGTAAGTCCTACATGACACTAAATACGCCAGAGTTTGGGAAACTTATTTGTTATTGATTTTTAGGTGAAAGTAATGCCACGGGATTCATTGTTGATAAAGAGAGGGGAATTATTTTATCAAATCGTCATGTTGTTTCGCCATCGCCTATTGTGGCTCAAGCTATATTTAGGAATTATGAAGAAGTAGAATTAAAACCAATATATCGTGATCCAATTCATGATTTTGGATTTTTTAAATTTGATCCATCCAAGATTAAGTTCATGGACCTAGTAGAGATTCCTCTTTGTCCAGAAAAGGCAAAAATTGGAATAGAAATAAAAGTTGTTGGAAACGATAATTGTGAAACTTTATCAATTTTATCTGGTACTTTAGCAAGACTTGATAGAAGGTACGAATTTATTTTTATTATTAGAAATTTATAACTTTTACACTAATTATTTTAACTTTAATTACATTTAATAATAAGAGCTCCAATGTATGGTACTGGAAATTATAATGATTTTAACACCTTTTATTTACAAGCAGCGTCCGGAACTAGTGGTGGATCGTCAGGTAGTCCAGTGCTTGACATTGAGGGTAATGCAGTTGCTCTCAATGCAGGGTCTGCAAGAAAAGCAACATCTAGCTTTTATCTTCCTTTGAATAGAGTAACAAGAGCTCTTAAATATATTCAAGAAGGAAAAGAAGTTCCCCGCGGAACTCTTCAGACAGAGTTTGAATACAAACCTTACGATGAACTCCGACATTTGGGTCTTAAATCAAGTATTGAAAAAGAAATTCGTGAAAAATTTCCTGAAGAAACTGGATTATTAGTTGTTCGTATTGTTTTACCAAAAGGTCCGGCAGATGGTCTACTTATACCCGGTGATATAGTTATTTGTGCAAATAAAAATATGATTGCCAATTTCACACAATTATTTTCAATAATTGATGATTCAGTTGGAAAAGATATTGAATTAACAATATGTCGTGGAAAAGAACAGATAGATGTTAAGTTAAAAATTCAAGATCTTCATTCTATAACACCAAATCGTTTCGTTGAAATTGGTGGTAGTATAATTAATGAGTTATCGTATCAGCTCGCGTATTCTTATTCATGGTCTGTTGGAGGCCCATATATAGCTGAAAGTGGTTATATGTTTAGTAGCGCGTCAGCTTCGCGCATGAGTATTATTACTAGTGTTAATAATATCCCTACACCAAACTTGGATGCATTTATTGAGGCTATGAAAACTTTACCAGATGATGCTAGAGTACCAATAAATTTTTATAATTTATCCAACACCAATAAAGAAAGAATGTCAATTATGCATGTGGATAGACATTGGCATAAATTTAAAATAGCTGTTCGCGATGGTAAGTTTTCAGTATTTATTTATATTTACGCTCTTTTAGCTTTTTTTTCATATAAAAATCATTAACTTGTTAAATTTTAAAGACACTACCGGATTATGGAATTATGAGGAAATGCCTCCTCCTCCATCTATTTATTCATATAAACCTGAAACAGCACAAATTCAAAATTTGGATGAATCATTACAACCTGCAGGAAAAATCTGGCCTTCATTTGTTACCATTAGTTTTCGTTTACCATATAATGTTAACGGAATTAGAAATGGACATGTAATTAGTTTACTTATTTTTTGTACTTTATTCAAATTTTATCTATTAACTTTTAATCATATTATTCATTAGTCTTGTGGTGCAGGAGTGATAGTATCCACCGAGCCACCTTTAATTATATGTGATAGATATACAGTACCAACAAGCGTTGGTGATATTTTTATCACGTTTGCTAATAGTATTATTATACCTGGAAAATTAACTTATCTTCATCCAATATATAATTATGCTGTTCTCACATATGATAAAACATTGTTGGGAAATACTCCTATCAAAGAAATTGAATTGAGCGATAAGGAGTTAGTGCAAGGTGATTCTGTTTATTTAGTAGGAATTTGTGCAGATAATTCGCCCGCGATGAAGAAAACTACTGTGAAACGTATTGCAAATATTGAAACGGCGAAATGCTACCCTTCAAGGTGGAGAGCTGTAAATGTTGAGGAAATTAGATTGGACGAACATGTAGAATCACTAGGTAATTTTAAGTTTTCTAATACTGTATCTATGATGTTCGTATGTTTATTAACTAGTTTTTTCATCTAGGTGGCGTATTATGTGATATTGATGGAAAAGTGCAAGGGTTATGGTTAACTTATTCTTCACAAAATGATAAGCATAACAACATTTCATTTAAGAGAGGTTTTTCAATATCTTTAGTAAAACCAACTTTAAACTCGCTTAAACTTGGCGAACTTCCAAAATTATATGGTCTTGATGTTGAATTTTGGATAATAAAAATGTCAAAAGCAAAATATTATGGATTATCGGATGAATGGGTTAGAAAAGTTGAATCTATATCAAATTCAAAAAACAATTTGTTACGTGTATTAAATATACTTGATTCAACAAGTCCTTCAGGAAAATTGTTAAAAGTAGGCGACATCGTTTTGACGATAAACGGTAATATGATAACAAAAGTTTCTGAATTGCCTACGGCTTTTCATTATTCAGAAGAAGTTGATATGGCAAGTATTTTTTAATTTATTTAAATAATATATATATATATACTTAGATAATTAATAATATTAATTTATTTAATATATAGTTAATATTACGTGGTGGAAAAGAAATAAATATTAAAGTAGCAACGACGCCATACCGTGAAAAAGAGGTAACATGGATCATAGGATGGTCAGGTGCAATTATACAAGAACCATATAAAGCAGCATTGGAACAAATTAAAAACGTACCAACGGGTGTGTACATATCATGTAGATTTCATGGATCACCAGCATTAAAATTAAGCACGGGAGTTTGGATTACCGAAATACAAGAAAGAAAAGTGAGTGACTTAGATTCGTTTTTAAAAGCAATACGTGCGCATGGAAAAGAAATTAAAGAAAAACCTGAAGATAATGATGGATATGTGCGGATTAAAACTGTTAGTGATACAAATGTTACCAAAGTTGTAACTATGAAATTAGACCTACATTATTGGGGTATTTGTCAATTGATTGAAGATGAAGAAGCATTATCAGGATGGAAATTTATAGAAGAATAGCTTTTTTTTTATTTTTATTTATTTATTTATTTTTAGACAAAAAAAATTCGAATCTTTTTTTATTATTTATAATTTGTTTTTATAAAATAACAATAATGATTTTTGACTTTTTAAACTAATCATTCATCATTTATTTATAACAAACATTTTTATACTGTTGGGCATTACTTTTATTGATGCATATTATGTATTTCGATTTAACAGAAAGTACGTTTTTTTGTTTCATTTTATTAAATAAATAGATGTTCTCGTGAAAAATTGAACCTATATTTAACGGAATTTCGTACAAAAATTATAATTATTAAAAATAAATATTGTCAATTTTCATAATTTCATTTTTTCACGACATAAGCGATATAATACATTTCATCCCTTTTTTTGAATAAAAAATTACATTGTAGGTCCTTTGGATGTTCTTAGTGTGATGCGTAAAATAAATGGAATTTTTATTGGTCGATTAAATTGCAGCATCATCAAATTTCTAGATCCAAAAATGTTTAATTTGGTTTATAAAAATTGTCTTTGAATAACATCAAAAATATACTCGTGAAATATCATGATTTACGGTGTAGTCGCAAAATAACATATGATATGTTTGGAGTCAACAAATTATTTAAGATAATAAAACTGAATACATTAAAAAAAAAATATTTATTATATGATAATTAAAAAATTGTGTATTAGTATACATAACATTATTACGAATCAACTTTCGTAAAAGTGATATACAGTATACCATTATAAATAACTTAAAATAACTTATGATAGTAACAATATTCTTCTTAATTAAAATTTTTTTCTATAAAAAGGATGTTCCTTCTTAATTCTATTTCTTAATACTTTTCTAAGAATTTTACCAGACGAACTTTTAGGAATTTTATCAATAAATAAAATACCACCACTCAATCTTTTATAAGGAGGAACACGTTTTTCAACATATCTTTTAATTTCTTGTTTTAATTGATCAGATTCAAGAACGTTTTGTTTTAACGAGATATAAGCGGCCGGACATTCGGTTGCTTCTTGTTCGGCGTAAACTCCGATTACAGCTGCATCATCAATTGATTGATGAGAATTTAAGATTGATTCTAATTCTGTTGGTGAAACTTGATGACCCTACGGAGAAATTTGAAAATTAAGTTTTGCGTGAACATAATAACGAAAGAATCAAAATATTTTTATTTACCTGATATTTAATCAATTCTTTGGAACGATCAACAATATAAAAGTTTCCTATTACGAAAGAATATAATTAGTATATTGTTGAATAAAAAATATATATATAGTATATTATTTAGAATTCAATCACTCACCAAATTCGTCGACTTTTGCTATATCACCAGTGTGAAACCATCCTTCGTTATCAATGCACGCATCGGTTGCTTCTTTATTATTAAGATAACCTTTCATGATGTTTGGACCACGAACACAAAGTTCTCCCTCTTGTTTGTATCCAAGTTCTTTTCCTTTTTCAGAAATAATTTTACATTCAACATTCGGAATAGGTTTACCAATAGATTCAATGGGGATATTTTCAGCATATTTAACAAAATGAGTAAAAGAATATTCAGTTGCACCATAAGATTGTCTAATTGGTACAAACATTCTAGCGAATGAATCAGCTAATTCTTTACTTAAAGGAGCAGCACTACTTATGCATGATCGTAAACTTGATAAGTCATATTTTCTTGAAATTGGATCTTTAACTAATGACATAGCGATCGAAGGTACAAAATGAATTACATTGACTTTATAATCTTGAATTGTTTTACAAAATGTTGGTAAATCAAATTCAAAATTTGGTATTAAGACAACTGAAGCTCCTTTAAGAAGGGTTAAATGAATGAGCGTAATTATTGAATATATATGATGTAAAGGCAATACGCCGATAAATTTAGTATTTGAATTAACATCATCGTTATTACACCCAATTTGAGCTAAATTAGTAACAATATTAGAATGAGTTGTTTCAACTCCTTTATTCTTTCCAGTTGTACCAGAACTATAACTTAAATATGCTGTAGTCGATTTTGCTTCCTCTGGTGAATATTCAATGGGATTTACTTCTCTTTCAGATTTGAGGAATGAATAGAGTTTAATTTCATCAATTTCTTCATTACCAAATAAAAATATATTTGATCTAGGTATATTTACTGCGTCCGCTGCTTCAATCGCTTTTGAAAGAAGTGATGGAAATACAACAATATATTTTGCTCCAGAATCTTTTAATTGATAAGCAACTTCATCAACTGTATACTTTGAATCAACGAATGTTACTATTCCTCCTGCCGCAATCGTACCAAATATAACAGTTGGATAATCGACCTTAAAAAATAATTCGATATATTTTTAGCACTTTACCAATTATATATTTTACAATTAATGAAACTTTCATACCTGATTTGGAGAAAATATTGCTAAAACATCTCCGCGATTAAATCCTGCTTTATCAATTAATCCAGCCGCCAATTTTTTGGTATCACTTCTTAATTTATCAATAGTTAGTTTTTCACCAGTTATACCGTCGATAAATGTTGCATCCTCATTCGCTTCATTTATCAAAGCTTGGTAAACTCCTTTCACAGGAATATCAATGTTCGTTGTTGATTTGAAAATCATCGTGGAATGTGGATGATAATAGGGGTTTTTTTTAAAAAAAATTGCGAATTTAAAACTTATTTAAATATTAAAACAAGAAGAGAAATGGAATAATGAATGGATAGGATGGCCTAAAGATGGATCATTGGAAACCTAGTTTTATCAACCTGTTCTCTTCTTGGTAAACTTTGTGATTCATCAGTGTAATAGAACTTCTGGTAAATTTGCAAGGACTGCGGTAGTTCACGCTAACTGCTGTCTGATACAAAATCGAATATGCGCAGTGGCTCGTAAACCAGATATCGTTTTAGTCGATTGTAGCAATGTCCAACGAAAAGAAGGGAAACCTGTAGTACGTTGGAGCGATATTCACGTTGTGGGTGAAATAAAGCGTACAGACAAAAATGACAACGTAAACACGGATCTAGAGCTGGCGGGATATGTTCGTGAAATTTTTAAATAAAACGGATAATCCACATCGTTTCCTAGCATCGCATAATTGATGTTATTACTATACTTTCACTAATATTATTTTAAATGAAAAATTATAGATTTATTGCAAAAAATATTATACAGTAAAATTTGATATACTGATACTTTAAGTTCAAATGATAGATAGTATTTTATACATGATGTGAATTCATTGTTATTTTATTAATATAGAAATAAAAGATAAATGCAAAGCTCAGGACTTTTCTTGTAATACATGACAATTTTTTCTATACTAATATACATAATTTGAATTTGTATTATGCATTAGTTACATTATAAATATGCCATTTTGAAAATTTCTAATCAATTTCTATAATTTTAAAATTTTCATAAATGTGGAATATATTAGCTTTTTCTTGAATATAACTTTTTACTGATTGAGATTGGAAGGTCACAATATTCTTTTCAGGATGATATGAAAATATATTGCTGTCCAACACTTCATTTAATTTCTCAGCCCTATCAAAATAATTCTTAAATTCTAAAAAGCTGAGCTCATTAGACTTCAACAAATCACATATAAGACTTTTTCCTAATTCGTAATATTGATCATTTGGAAGGAGTTGTGCAGATTTAAATTTCTTCTCAACTTTATCTAAAACTTGTTGTTTAATGACTGCAGAAAAAGGGCAGAAGAAGTTATTAAGCAATTGATCCAGAACAAAATTATGTAAACTTGAATTTGTAAAATGATGAAACTAATTCCTACTTTCGAATTTTTGCCCAGCCAAAAAGTCATCCGCCACAATTTTTTGCTCTATGATACGACCCCCAACTAAATCAAATAATTTTTTCGCATATACTTCCTTGATCTTGCGCTTTTTAATCAAATATTCCATCGATTCTTCCTCGCTAAGGTCGCCAATTTCCATTACAGGTGTTTTTGCACGCGACCAGGCACTGCGGGCTAAAATAAGAATTATAATCTGTAAATACCATTTTTTCAAGAACACAAAAAAATCATGTCATACTTACATTCCATCCTCTGAGGTACACTCCCTTCGCTGCAGACAAATACAGCGATGTATTTTCGATCATCAGCACTGTGTTTCGCGTCATCTTGGAGAATGTCCAGGATTTCTGGATTTTTATGAACCAAGTGACTAACATTGTCGTAAACAATAACCATTGGCTTATTTTACTTGGCTTTGTACACTTCGCTAGCGTGTCTGAAGGTTTTCAAAGCTTTTGCACATTCAGAAAGCTTAGGTGTATCTATTACAAAGAAAATAGGAATCAAAATGGTTATTATTAACAATAAAGTAATGATGGAAACTTACCATCCGATTTGATTTTACGCAACCATTGTCCAGTAATAGAAATTTTCTCAGATGCGAAATTAATTGCTTTCCCAAAAGCCTCATCTAATCCACTTAAATCCGCGGGGATATCAACATATATAACGCCACACCCAACCTCACTTGAAGCGATCCTGGCTAATGTAGTTTTTCCTGTCCCGTGTTCACCACAGATCAAATGATAATACGAATGATTTTTATGTGGTTGAAGAATTTTTTTAAACCGTTCTATAACTTGAGGTCGAGAAACGAATTCATCATCTGAGATATCAATTTTAGGTTGAGTGCCCTTTTCCACGGTTTTGTTTAAAAGATTCTCATTATACAAGCTACGAATCCAAGCGAATATGACATCTCCTGATACAAAAAAGAGAAGAATTGATACCACAAAGGCCACCCCATTGGAAAGAATAATAGACCAAATAGACGTTTTGGAGATGCGGAGGGGAGGTGAAGAGATTGTAAATGATTTCCAGAAATAAAAATAAAAAAAAAGATGCAACATCAGAAACATGAATATAAATGTAGATATAAGTATATATTTTTTGCATCGTACTCGATTATTAATGAAGGAAGACATTAGAAACGAATATAAAAGAAGTTCGAGAGAGTTTCTTGGGAGATAAAAAGGAAGAAATTTTGTTCCAATAAAAGAAAAAGAAGACTTGTTTTGAAATCAAAAAAATTGATCAATTTTATACTCATCAAAAAGATTTGATCAAAATCGGCTTATTGAAGGTGTATCATTATAAACCTTTCTGACTATAGACTCTTGTAGTGACGTACGTAATACAGCAAATAATAATAATAATTCTTATTATATTCAAACCTATCATGATAAACTGCATTTGATTATCATAATGAGACGATAATAACTTATCATAACAAATTGTATTTGATTTAGTATTTAACAATTGCAAGCATGAATAAATCAAATAATCTCACTCATTAATTATTAAGTTAGTCGAAAAAAGCACATGAAAAAATGATTAATACAGTTACTCATTAGGTTGTAAATTAATTAAATTAATCAAATGACTCAAGAAAAAGAAAAATGATTATAGAAACATGAAGATCGATTCGGGGGTATTTATTAAAAAAGTTACGTAATTTCATATCGTACGACAGCATAGTTAAAAATCCGTTTATTGGTCAGATTTCACATGATGATAAACACAGTGATAAACAGATTACCAATAAAAATTTATGATCGCACGTGATAATTAATTTTAATAAACCAATAAAAATTAATTACATATCGTAAAAAAAAAATCTACAGCTAATACAAAAAATTTATAAAATACAAGTTCTTTAATTACATTATACCATCTATTTAATTAATCCACTTTCTGAATGAAAGCTAACATAATTAGAATTACTATAAAATTAAATGATTTACACGTATAATCTAAATTTTTGAAGATATAATAATATTTATTTTTAATATTAATAAATATTTAAAAGTTACTGTAAATTTCCTATTAGTATAATGGAGTAAATTATTATTAAAAAAAAAAATCAAAAAATTATTAATTAAGAAAAAATTCATTTTGAAAATTTTGAAAGTATTTTTCCTTTTTTAAATTTTATGAATTCTTTGATAAAAATTTTTTTTGGATAAAAAAAGAGATATAAAGATAAAATAAATTAATAAATATAAATTTTTTAGAAAAGAGAAAAAAATAGATCAAAATGGAAAACCATTATTTCCTTTATATTTTTATGATTTTTTTTTAATTTTTTACGAAAAAAAATTTTTACAAAAGGAGAAAAAAAAGTAAATTAAAAAGGAAACCCATTTCCTTTTTTCATTTTTGTAAATTTTTTTTTTTTTATAAAAAAAAAAAAATTTAAATTAAAAGAGAAAAAAGTAAATCAAAAATGGTAGGTTATTTCCTTTTTTTTTTTAGTTGCGTCTATTTTTGTTATGAAGATCAAGGAANTTTCAACAAAAAAAAGTTTTTTTACGAAAAGAGAAAAAATTAAAGCAAAAATGGAAAGTTATTTCCTTTTTCAATCAAAAAAAAATCTAAAAAATGTTAGCTTCGCTATACTAACATATATATAAAATTATCTGAGACTTTTTCATCCAAATTTGGACTTATGGTTAGATCAAATGCAAAATCTAACCCATAAAAATGCACTAACTAATCCATAAAAACGAACAATTTTTCACAATTTTTCATAATTTTTCATTTTAAGATATGATTGTCAATGATCTAATGCATTCCGGGATATGATCATTCATCATTTTGGCACAAAAAAATCTATCGAATTATTTGATATGAGGGTTAATAACGGTTGATTTTTCATATTTAATAAAAAATCCAAAATCAGTTCAGTCTAGACGTTAAACAGAAGTCTCATTCAGATTAACATTTGAATATACTTCTTTATTGCATTACCTTTTCAAGAGTTTCTTGGCAGAATAATTTCATATTTAATACTTCCCATGTTTAGAAATATTTAAATATTTTCTTTGTAACATAATTTAGAAATTTCCAGTTTCTCATTATTTATTAACGATAGATGGTGATGATTTACGAAGTTCATTAACAGAATGATACTTTCAAATATAGTAATAGTTAAATGGACTTTTAATCTTTCCTTATTGTAACCTGCTGTGTAACATGCTGTTGAAATCTTTGTACGTTATCACTTATTTGATCACGCGTTGATAATGTGGTAAAATAAGTAGTGATGCTGACATAGTTTTAGCTATTGTTAAAATCTGTAATAAAGTTTAAACGATATTTTGTTAAAAACCTATGTTTAAAGTTATGTATATATGCATTTAATATAGAATAATAACAAAATGTAGAAAATTTTTAATGAAATGTCTCATTGTAATAAAATTAACTTTTCGGTGATAGTAAGCTCCACGTATTGGAGTCTACTTCAACAACGTTGGTTTTTTGCTTTAATTATAATCCTGTTAAAACCCATCAGTTAAGTAGTTTGATATAAAAATAAATGGACTAATATTATATATTGTTGTTGTATGAACACGTTATGCTTAACATTTGTACACTAGAACTATTAATAAAAAAGTAATCAAATTCATTGTAAAAATTAGTTTAATTATTTCTTATAATTGTATGAAAAAAAATAATTTACGTTTGTATTATCATATTCAGTTTGTCGTAGCAAGATCGTTTGTCAATAATTTTATTTCATTCATAAACTAATCATCCAAATCCGCTAGTGACTTGTTTCAAAAATATCATGACCTACAACAAATATTTTAATAGTTTAATACTTTTTCTTGCAAGTATATCTGAAAATGGTTTGACAGTGAAAATATTTCATATAAGCGGGATTAATGACGAGGACTTCTAATTATATTTAACATGTGATTAATTCGCTGTATCTGCTGCTGTAAAATCTACCGATTTCTCCGCCCTTTTGTCATGGATGACTCTAAATGCTGCGGCTAAACCGAAACTTACCTATGGTAAACTAGTTTCTCCACAAGCCTGAAATCCGAAACTTCCGATCCTTCCAAACTTCCGAAATTTTGACAACTTCTAAAGCTAAATTAGCTTATTTCATAACGCGCACAGAAAGCGCAGTAACCGCAATTTTATTTATGCGGTTTAAATATATCCGGTTTCTTTTTTACGCCCAAAATTCGCGTACTAGGTTGGAACGCCTTCTTCTAGTTGATCAGCGGGTTCTCATGTAGCCTCAGTATCTGGGTATCGCTCCCACTTAACCAGGTATTGGTGACCTTTCCTAATGCGATGCCGTAATATCCTCTTATTACTGCGGTAGGTCAAAATCATTTATATGGGGGATTTACGCTATACAAGGTAATACATAAATTTAGCTAGATGCAGCATTTGGACGAAATTACTGAGAATTGTGAAAATCAAATCATATTAACATTTTTTAGTTTTTTTTTTTTTTTTATTTTTTTTTTAAAAAAAAATTAGGTTTGGTCAATGTTTCAGGTTTCAGAGAATACGGGGAAGTCTGAAGTTTCGGAATTTGACCTCAAAAGGCAAAATATTTCGCAAATCACAAACCAGTTTCGCCTTCAACATTAGTGGCTCGTCACACGACTTTTCATGTTAATTTTAAAAGATTTATTTGATTTATTATTTGATTTTGTTTATCCCCTAATGTTTCAAGTATAATAATATAAATCATTTCAGGAATTATTATACTATTGTATTGTATATAACAATAACATGCCTTATTAAAATTTTATCGTTTCAAAAAGTATTTACATTTTCTTATTAACATGTCAATACTTAATTCTGATCCTCGCGTTTGGTTAGAAAAAGCAATTGCTGAAAAATACCTTAAATATTATGAATATAATGAGTTTGATAATATAGAAGCAATCAGCCATAGTTGTTATGGAAGTGTTTATCGTGCAAAATGGAAAGGTATTAATATGGCTCTAAAATATTCAGATAATTCGACTATTGAGGAATTCGTTAATGAGGTAGTAAAGTATTTTTTATAATACAGTAAATTTTATTTAATATAAAAGATTCTTTAATTTGGTTTAAATTTTAATAGTTACGGTTGCAACTAGAAGTTCATTATCATGAAAATATTATCCGATTTTATGGAATCTCAAGCAAACAAACAAATAAATATTTGCTAGTTATGGAATATGCTGATGGCGGAACATTGCAATCCTATTTGAAAGAAAATTTTAAGAAACTTGAGTAGGGCGATAAGTATCGATTAGCTCTTCAACTTGCAAGTACTGTATCATGCATGCACAATGAGAGAATTGTCCATTGTGATTTGGTAATGTGACAGTAATTTTTTTTTGTCTCTATTTTTACTTTACCTGTATTATATAATTAATAAATATTATTATTTTAGCATTCACAAAATATACTTGTTCATCGTCATAATATAAAGCTAGCTGATTTTGGTTTATCAAGAAAAATTAATGATTTATTAACAGATGCGCGTGGTGTTATTCCCTATGTTGATCCACAATATTTGGATAGTATTGAAATCAAAAGCCTAAATGAAACTTACGACGTTTATAGCGTTGGAGTTCTTTTTTGGCAAATTTCAAGCGGTTACATTCCTTTTGAAAATGTAGATTATGATGCAAATTTGATTATGGACATTAAAAAGGGACGGAGAGAATATGATGTCAAAGATACTCTTATTGAATATAGTGACCTATATAAAAGTAAGTATAATTAATTATTGGGCAGAGACGTGACGAATATCGGTCAAGACTACCCAATATTCAACGATATTTCCTAAAAATTTCATATATATGTCCCGACATATCGTTATATAAAGGTTTGACTGTATTTAAATTTTCTAATATCTTTGATTTTTTAATAGAGTGCTGGGAAAGTGATCCAAATAAACGACCTACTATGCAAAAAATTGTCGAATCTCTTGAAGCAATAATTTTTGAAAACAAGAAGATCGATGATACTACTTTATACGTGGAAAATAAATCACAAGACCATACAAGCGCAAGTTGTACAAGTGATTCTACAAATGACATGCCTAGTGATGATTTTAGATTATGTTTAAATCAGTCAATGGAGGAAAATGTGCGTAATTCGGATATAATAAATCGATTAGAAAATATGTCAATATTATCTAATAACATAGAAAACACTAAAATATGGACAAGAAAAGATATAACATGTACCTTAAGAAACAGACATAGTCTAAGTAACTATATAAAACAAATAAGTCAGAGATCGTCCGATATTAGTGTTGATAGGGCAATAAGACGGAGAATGTACCGACGAAACCAGAGATTGTATAGGGCTAGTCTTTTTAATAGGGCTGGTCTTTTTAATAGGGCTGGTCTTTTTAATAGCTGGTTTTTTTAATGGGGCCGATCTTTTTAATGGGGCCATGGGGCTGATCTTTTTAATGGGGCTGATCTTTTAATGGGGCTGATTTTTTTAATGGGGCTACGTTCTACTAAAATCCGACTGTTGGAACTGAATGAACTTATAATAAATATTGGTTCAATTAATAATCCCAAAAAACACACTGAGGTAAAATTGGAATTTCTTATTGCAGTTATGACTTACGAGTTTCGTTGTTTGACTTAACTGATGAGTTTTCTAGATTAGTAACGATTAACATGTTAACACCCCCGTTTTTTAAGCTTTTTAATTTATATAAATGAGAAATGTTCAAGTTCATTAAAAGAAAATTATGTTCACGCTTGCTAATTTAATACTTGATAATTGTTTTTTATTCATTAATTTAGAAAAGAAAATATTTTAAATTACTCGGCACAAGAGTAATTGTTTTATCAGGCTTAGATAATTAAATAGAATTTATACAATACGTTTAACATAAATCATCAAATAGCAAATCCTGATAGCAAAAATTTAATTCACGTATTTTTAATAAAGATTTGCATAATTGTAATAAATATTTAAGTACCGTATATATAATAAAATATTTATGTTTCATATGAAAATTTTATGAATCGAAACAAATTCTAAAAATTGTATTGATATTGCGAACCAAATTTGCAGAGTAGAAGGTTGGAAAATGTAAAAGGTCTTCTCAGAGTCGCCAAACATGGAAATGGATTTAAAATTTCATAATGAATTTCGGGACCTTTTCGATTAATTTCAAAAAAATTTTAATGAGTAATATACTCAGCCAGTCTAAAAACTTATGGTACATCGAGTAAATATAATTGGATGGATTGAATGTAAATTACATCAAAGAATTTTTAAATTTTAAGCCGGAATTTTATGGTCTCTTTATTAAGAAATTTCAAGAGGTAAAGTAATTGGGTATGATTCTCGGCTAATGAATAATAATAAGTATTCTTTTATCTGACCGTATTCGTTTGAATTATTTCGTATCGAAGATCAAATAAAATTAAGAATTTATCATTTTAATTATTATTTGCTTTTGTTTAACGTCAGGAATTATAAAGTTTATGTAATCGTTATTAAAAGTCATTAATATTATGTTCTTATTTATATATACTGTAGTATATAACGCTGCAAATATAATATGTATATATATTTTTTATTCTAAATACACGTATTTTTTTTAACTATGAATATTTTGAAAAAATAAAAAAAAATTGGATGAGTTTTTTAAAAACCTTCGTAGTTCGTATTAAATTAAATCAAATATTATATGCATTTATAAGAAACACTTTTACTAACACCTTTGAAATTTTCTTGTAGTATTCCAAGTAAAATCATCAAAATTCAAAAATCTATAAAGATAAAATCATATACCGAATAGGAAATAGGTCCGAAAATAGGTAATAAAAAACCACAATACAATAAAGGATCGAAAGAAGTAAATATTGCTAACACTAATTATAGAAAGAAAGATCTAGCAGTAAAAATTACTGCTGTTTGAAAAGGGCATAAGTAATTCATTAATCCATTCTCGCGGTGCGAGCTAAATTATTACAATATACCGCATCGTGGGTAACATTTATTCTTATCTTTAACCTAGTACAGCGAGTTTTCGGTGAGAAAATCGGAAAAAATTATGACTTTTAACGAAACATTTTCTAAAGTTTCGTGCTTTTCTTTTTTTAGGCGTGTTTGGACATGGATTTCGGTAGAAATTAGTCTTTTTTAGCTATTTTTTAGCAAAACGTTTACTAACGTTTTATTTTTTATTTATAGGCAGTAGGTTTTCTCTAAATGTGAATTTTGGTGAGCGAGTACTTCCGTTTACTTAATTCGTTTTTTTCTTTTTATTCTTTGGCTCTTTCTTTGGCTCTTTGGGGTTTCCTTATTTTTTGCTAACTTTCATAAAGAAAAGTGTTTATTAATGGTTTGAAATCGTTATTTAATAATATTTGCATATTTTATCAATGACAAAATAAATGTAATACTAAATAAAAATAGTTTTTTACTTCAAATCACCGAGGGTGAGTATCACCGTTGGCCAGAATTATCAAATTTTACTGGCACTCTATTTTTTTAATGCTGGTCGATCGTCATAATTTCAGTCATCGGTGATCATCACCCCCGGTGATAGTTAGAAAAATTCATAAAAATAATTAGTAACGCATATCGTATAATTAAAATTAATTGGATGTTAAATTTAAATATTTATTTTTTATTAAATTTTGTAGGTTAAATAACGAGATCTATCATTTATTTTTTAAAAATGTAGACAATGACGGGAGCCATACCGAGATCTATCATTTAGGTTACTGTTTATCCATAGTATCGATGTATATCATGTGACTTTTCATCCTTAAAAAAAATTTTCCAATGAATTGTAAATTTCTGTATTTACTTATTATGAGAAAATAGAAATTGTTAATAGTGTGCCAAATTTTTATTTAATGGTAAAGATAACATAGCCAATTCCTCCTCGACTTTACCAATAACAAAGTTAGAATGCTTGCTTAAGCTGGTTATCAAGTGAACTAAAAAGAATAAAAATAAAAATAAAAAATAAAAAAAATAAAAATAAAATAAAAGAAATAAAAGAATAAAAGAGATAAAGCAAGCTACTAAGACAAACTTGTAAACTCCCCGACTCAATGAGTAATCCGTTCTTTACTTTGCTTAGGAGTTACTCACTTTAAAAACGCATCTCTCTTAAAATCTCTTGAGCCACTTTGCACTCATCTAGAAACCAATAATGCTTCATTCAGTCATGTCTTCCCTTAATGTCTTCTTAGAACTTCTTTTTCTTTCTTTAGGTCTTCTCTACTCCTATTCAATGCGAAATTCTTAGGAGAATTATTAAAAGCTTTCTAGTTCTTCAGTAACATTCTGATCCAATCAATTACGTAATATGATAATGATTTTTTTCTTACCAATACCCATTACTCTCATATATGAAAAAATACAAAAAAATACCTCATATGGAGCAACAATAAGAATAATTTTTTTGTTACTCTTTCCCTTTTGTATTTTTTTTAGAGATGGTATTTTTTTTTAAAGTATTTTTTTTAAAGGAAAGTTGAGGGTATATATATTATGTATTTGTAAAAAGAGATTTATTATTTATCGCATATGCGAATAAAAGATTAATACAGTGACGTAATTTTATCGTCGCTCATTAGCCGCAATAGATGAAATAGAGCCTGTATCGCCTATCGATATTATCAATTCGACTGATATATTAAAAAGTGCTGTTATAGTAGATTTTTTTTCAAAATTATATAATAAAATTTTATTTTTAGAAATACATGTTTAATAGTATAAATGCAATTTCCAGAATTATTTTAAATAAATAAACAAACTTTGCTGTAAAAAATGAATATATACTATTATAAATAACCTAACATATCTTAACGATGTCATTTAATTAAAATTGTTTTCTATAATAAGGATGTTCCTTCTTAATTCTATTTCTTAATACTTTTTTAAGAATTTTACCAGACGAACTTTTAGGAATTTTTTCAATAAATAAAATACCACCACTCAATCTTTTATAAGGAGGAACACGTTTTTCAACATATCTTTTAATTTCTTGTTTTAATTGATCAGATTCAAGAACGTTTTGTTTTAACGAGATATAAGCGGCCGGACATTCGGTTGCTTCTTGTTCGGCGTAAACTCCGATTACAGCTGCATCATCAATTGATTGATGAGAATTTAAGATTGATTCTAATTCTGTTGGTGAAACTTGATGACCCTATGGAGAAATTTGAAAATTAAGTTTTGCGTGAACATAATAACGAAAGAATCAAAATATTTTTATTTACCTGATATTTAATCAATTCTTTGGAACGATCAACAATATAAAAGTTTCCTATTACGAAAGAATATAATTAGTATATTGTTGAATAAAATATATATATATATAGTATATTATTTAGAATTCAATCACTCACCAAATTCGTCGACTTTTGCTATATCACCTGTGTGAAACCATCCTTCGTTATCAATGCACGCATCGGTTGCTTCTTTATTATTAAGATAACCTTTCATGACGTTTGGACCACGAACTCAAAGTTCTCCCTCTTGATTGTATCCAAGTTCTTTTCCTTTTTCAGAAATAATTTTACATTCAACATTCGGAATAGGTTTACCAATAGATTCAATGGGGATATTTTCAGCATATTTAACAAAATGAGTAAAAGAATATTCAGTTGCACCATAAGATTGTCTAATTGGTACAAACATTCTAGCGAATGAATCAGCTAATTCTTTACTTAAAGGAGCAGCACTACTTATGCATGATCGTAAACTTGATAAGTCATATTTTCTTGAAATTGGATCTTTAACTAATGACATAGCTATCGAAGGTATAAAATGAATTACATTGACTTTATAATCTTGAATTGTTTTACAAAATGTTGGTAAATCAAATTCAAAATTTGGTATTAAGACAACTGAAGCTCCTTTAAGAAGGGTTAAATGAATGAGCGTAATTATTGAATATATATGATGTAAAGGCAATACGCCGATAAATTTAGTATTTGAATTAACATCATCGTTATTACACCCAATTTGAGCTAAATTAGTAACAATATTAGAATGAGTTGTTTCAACTCCTTTATTCTTTCCAGTTGTACCAGAACTATAACTTAAATATGCTGTAGTCGATTTTGCATCCTCTGGTGAATATTCAATGGGATTTACTTCTCTTTCAGATTTGAGGAATGAATAGGGTTTAATTTCTTCAATTTCTTCATTACCAAATAAAAATATATTTGATCTAGGTATATTTACTGCGTCCGCTGCTTCAATCGCTTTTGAAAGAAGTGATGGAAATACAACAATATATTTTGCTCCAGAATCTTTTAACTGATAAGCAACTTCTTCAACTGTATACTTTGAATCAACGAATGTTACTATTCCTCCTGCCGCAATCGTACCAAATATAACAGTTGGATAATCGACCTTAAAAAATAATTCGACATATTTTTAGCACTTTACCAATTATATATTTTACAATTAATGAAACTTTCATACCTGATTTGGAGAAAATATTGCTAAAACATCTCCGCGATTAAATCCTGCTTTATCAATTAATCCAGCCGCCAATTTTTTGGTATCACTTCTTAATTTATCAATAGTTAGTTTTTCACCAGTTATACCGTCGATAAATGTTGCATTCTCATTCGCTTCATTTATCAAAGCTTGGTAAACTCCTTTCACAGGAATATCAATGTTCGTTGTTGATTTAAAAATCATTGTGATAACAGGTCATTCAAGGTTTGTTTTTTTAAGTGGAAATAATTTTTTTTTAAAAAAAAAAACAAAAAGAGAAAGAAGAAAATTGAGCGTATTTATAACAAAAACAATTTAAGGAGAAATGGTAGCAAGGAACAACTATAATGGAATGCAAATAATGAATAATTACATTTCGTTTTTAGTAATATTTGAAAGTATTGTAATCTTTGAAAACAAAAAAAAAAAATTTTTTGATTCAAATGTCATATATAGTTTAAATCCTCCACCAATCTATCAAAATTTCCGATTTTTTGTTTATATTCTCCTTAAATTTCAATGTTTATTGGTAATTCGACTCGTGGTATGGATTCGAACAATGAACAAGTTTATCCAAATCTGCTGTAAATAAATACAATGGATCAATTATGTGATTATATTTTAATTATGTCAATCATGTTACATTATTACGACATAAAAAATATTAGGAGTTTACACATTTATTACATATAGCTAGTTAGGCCCAGTATTTTGTTGATTTAAACAATCGGACAATTCCGAAAGAATATGGAACTCATGGAACTCAGAATTATTATATAAGTAAAAATATTTATATCAGCAGTAATAAATGATCCCCCATAATGCCTATTATGAGATGTTTTCATTGAAAAATAAAGTTAAAGTATTAAGAATGATTATTGATGCATGATTTGTAATTTATCTAATTTATGAAACCAGAAGGTGATTATGTTTACTAAACATATCGTACGCTTTCGGTTCGGTTAAATTTTTCTTTAACTGATCGACAGTTGTCCATTTTTACATAATGATAGATTCTCTTTACTAAAAATAGGAAAATACTTTATTTGGAAATCTTAGATGGTTAGCTTTAATATAGAATTAAAATGATATCAAATAAACTAACTAATATTAGTTAGAATTATGTCCCGTCTTATATCATTATCTCTTTATCTCTCTGTTTGGAACTTTCGAGAGTTAAAAAAAAATTTAATCGAAAATGTAAAATAATATCTATAGGTATAAGTATTCGTATGAAGACGTGTGATTATGATAATTATAAATCAAACCATTAAATAAATCTTCACAAGTCGGTTTGTATAATTTAAATTTGAAAGTCAGGATCATTAAAATGACCGGAAAGGTAGAAACCTCAAATTATTACGGACCAATGAACATAAATTTATAGTAGTATACCTATAACATAAAGTCAATAATCATAGAACAATCGGTACTACTCTCAGTCTTTCAACACTTGCTGCACGCGATATTAGAATTGAATTAAGGAGGGGGGGAATTATCCTTGCATGGCAACCAATCCATTTATTACGAATACTGGAATAAAGGAATTAGTGCGTAAGAATGATATGACGGAAGTAATATTGTTACACGTAATTTTAACTAATTAATATTATAGTTCATGGAATATTAACTATAATAGAGTGAAATTGTTATTTTTTTTTTATTAATCTTTTATTGGCCGATTTATTCTTTTTTTTTTTTTAAAAAAAAAAAGTTACGGAGCGATATTCGCGATATTAAGAGCAATAATTTTAATACTAAAATCTATGTAATTTTAAGATCTTTTATTTTCAGGTGTAATCGATACGATGAAAGTACCATGTTTAATATTGGAATGGAAAGGCGTTTGGCACTCTATCAATTAATAGTATTTGATACTTTTAAATGTTTTTCTAAATATAGAAAAGATTATATCAATCAGCCAATTAATTGTATTTAATATCTGTTTGTGTATACAAATGAAAGAATATATTCTTGATAGTATTATACGGCAAATAATATTTATATGATACTCCGAAATATACAGTACATAAAAGGTTAGAATCGAAATGTTTATCTCGTTATATTGAACTTACCAATAAAATGCATCAAAATTTTATAAATATGATAAAATTGGGTTAGATCCTATTAATTTTATATTATGAATGTTATTGAAAAGACCGAAAAGGACTTCTTATACTTTGAAGTTTAATCGGACGATATAATATTAACCACATGCGAATCATGACTCAGAACACGCCCAGATAACTAATCCGATTGATAAAAATAATCTATTGATCATTCTTTAAAAATGGGAGACTATCATATTTTTATTTAGATGGTCAAGATAGGCTTTCGGCAATATTTGAAAAAAAATGGTGATTATTAGAAAATATAAGATTACTAAGGAATTCATACTATTTATTAGAAAGATATAAAATTTTTTATAAAATGTTGAATTTCACTAATTACCGAAAAGAATGATATAACAAATATGCCCAAGCAGATTAAAGTACAGGATATAAGATATTTTGCTGGAAAAAGTATTATTCAGTGGAAGTAGATAACTATTAAATATCTGAGGAGAGTAAAACTTTCTTAGGAACATTCATCATTTATCATGTTAAATATCGTATGATATAGTGTCATTGAAATTTTACTCTGGGCACGCGAAGGTTGATGGACATATCTTCAACATTTTCGTCTTTCTCTATAATATGTGTAATAAAAAAATATATAACACAAGCAACTTTCGGTGCTTGGAGGCAACATCTTACACATAAAATCTTTTCGCCTTAACTCAGTATTTTTCTTTTTAATGCTCTGACTGAATTCATCTTCACTGTCAAGAATACTTTGTAAGAACATTATAGGAAACAACAAATAAAAGAGCGAGTGCTGAGGAAAAGATCATGGTAGTCCCTTACGAGGTTTCGCACCCAACCGATCATTTATTTGTATTTATATGAGGGACTGAATCGTGGCTTCATCGAAGTGATTATTCGTGGTATGAGTTGTCGTAGGATATCTGCGTTTGACTCGCTCGTGAATTTTTCGTCGTATTTCAATGTGAATTCGGGAGGCATCGTCTTGAAGATTATCTTCATTTCAGTCTATAAAACATTTTTGGCTACACTGTTGACCCGTAAATCTCGTATGATATCTATTTCAATTAAATAGATAAGTTGAATTTGAATTTTAGATTCTTTCTTAAAGAAATTATAAATATTACGCATACGAACCTTCGGTCGACTAAATAATCTGTCATGGGAATATGATTACGATAATGTGGCATTTTTAATTGTGTTTGGAGAGACTGTAATCTTATATATATACTATCTAGTGCTTTCTTAAATGTATGTAGATAATCTTGTATCTCAATTATGGTCCATTCATTACATATTGTGTGTATAAGATAACTATTTACTTTCATCATCATACTCGAGACCAATGCTGCTCATCCAGTCCGACGTTTTATTAGTTGACGAGTATCGATCGTTCTTTTGCAACCTTTCGTTCTCATTGCCGAATGCTTGGTTAATTTCCATTAGGCATTGCATTTCTCCTTGTAATCGCCGAATTTCTAAGTATGCATCATCTTTTTTTTTAATTATTTCGCTGATCTCATCATCATCCAAGTACATCATTTTATCTCCTGTGTCTGGATCGTACTCGTATTGAACGAACTCCCCATTTTGAATTGGATCGGTATCATATTTGGTTTCGTATATGTTATTTTTCTCTTAAAGTTTGTTCTATATAAAATCGCTCCATTTTTTATAATGAATAAATTGGAAGTATTTTTTTTTTTTACTGTTTGTTTTCAATTTGGATTTTGCATTCTTTTTTACGATTCTATTTTATACGTCCAATCTGGTGTTTCATTTGGAGGTTACTTGCGGTGAAATAAATTTTATCGTTAAATTTCGTTCTCGCTGCCTATCATCATCCCACTATAGATCCATCATTTCAAAACGGTTTAAAAATTCCAACTTGAAACCGATAAAATAACTTCACCTCTAATATCTTTCCATGCATGATATGTCTGTAACTAAGGATATATGATGCTGAGATATCGGTTGTCATCCATTATTGAAGAAGTTCTTTATCCGAGAAGTTTCTGATCAATGATCTTTTTCCTTACGTAACTGGATGTTGTAACCTTTTCTGTAAGTATATTAAGTAACAGAAAATTTCCTTGGAAGGACGACCAAATTTCTATTGGTATTTTGTCTCCTAATAAAATTCCTCTGAATTTTTTTTATTCGTATCCATTAATATAAATTCCTAAGAAATGATCTTGATACCCTAAGAAAATTTAATGAATATATTAATATTACATAAATACTTCCATTTTTTTAAAAACAACTGAATATAATATATACCTTGTTCGTTACCAATCGAACATAACACTCAAATACACAGATTCTAATTTTTAAATCACGAAAACCATTAAATTAGATAAAATTTTGTTGGAGTAATTTTATAAAAAAAAAAATAAAATAAAAATCGAATATTTACAAATTCGGCTCATATCCCGTCTCCATCAGTTGAGATCTAGTCAATCTTGAAGGCTACTTTAAGTCTTTATAATGTGAAATATCTAATAGCATAATTGTATGGAATATAGTTGGGTAACGACTAACGACAAATCATGATCCAATAAATTTAGAATGATTATTTCGCTTCCCTATAAAAAATTTTCGGAGAAAACTCCGATAAATGATCATTTTTCAAGTATGATTCCAAAAAACTGTTAAAAGCTCGTCGAATTTTTTTTATTCTTCGTTAATTTCATCATTATAAGTCTCCTACATGTCAATGCAATAGAAAAAAAATGAGTAAATAAAGTTTGTACAATAGAAATCTTTTATAATTCAAGTACCAACCTGATAAAGTTTAATCAGAAACGCCATTGGGCGAACTAGTCTATTACAATGTTATTATGCAAGCTTGTTCTCTTTCATCTAAATCTATAGGATTTTCAATAACAGCTTCTAAAACATCTGTAGTGTTTAAGTATGAAATCAGTCCATGAACTTAATCTGAAAATTAAAAAAAAAAAAAAATAGTACTAACATCAAGTAAAAAGAACAGAGCCTTCCCTCGCGCTTTCTATTCATCAATATGATATAAATCTTTTTGTATTCGGCTTTTGTGAGTTATTTTTTTCGTTGTCTTTTAAGAAATAATTTCTTCAATTCACCACCAGTAGCTAACGATCTCATTGTAAATTCTTCTGTTTAGGGTTCACTTTACAGTTTGACACACAAGAAAACACATATGTTGGAAAAATTGTTGAACTTCCCACTATATGACGTAACTGAATATGTGTTACTCAGTCCTTGGGATATATATCTCTTCTAATAATGGATAAAATAATTATTAATTACTAGGTGTAGGAAAATTAAAATATTTTTGAATAAGTCAAATATTTATTTTACCATTATAAATAAGAAAAAACCATAAAAAAAATTAAAGTTGATAATTGTCTGACGTTATTTTAACAAACTTCACACCCTTGTTGCTCTGCCAATTATTTTAAAAAAAAAAAAATTTTCGAGTTTGACTTTATGTATATATATTATTTGAACGAGGATTACGTGAATCATATGATTTCACGTGCTCAAATTATAAATTTAGATTTAAATGGTAACTGGTAACTGGACGGGATTTTCTAAATATTTCACATAATGTTAAAAGGAAAAATCTGTAAAACCAAAATTTAACCAAATTTAGAATTAAAAAAAGGAAATTTTTTCCGATTATGAAAATGAATTAATTACCTTAACATCTATATTCATAAGAGATTCAATTATAGTAAAAAGATGATGAGAAAAAATATTTTAGGAATGATCACTATGGGATAATTTGATATAATAATAAGGAAATGATGACGATCGGGATAATATATAAATAAGCTGACATAAACGCACGAACTTTGTGAAAATAAAAATAAAAATAAAAATAAAAATAAAAAAACTAAAAAAAAAAAAAAAAATTTAAGCAAAATAATCTTTTTTACTTTCTACAAAATGTCAAAAATTGATAATGACGTACTTTTAATAATTTTTGATGAATTAAAAAATGATAATGGAACACTTTTCACCTGTGCTTTAGTTAATAGACAATGGTGTAAAATGGCGATTCCAATTTTATGGAAGGATCCAATTAAAAATCAACAATTTAATGAACAATTACTTGATATTATTAAATATTCATTACCTTATGAATCCAAAAAATTATTATTAAGTCATGGAATTGATATCACATCAAATTTACAATTAAGAAAAAAACCATTATTTGATTATATCAAATATTGTAAATATTTGAGATTTAATAAAATTAATGAATATGCTAATTTAATGACAAAATCTATTAAAGAAACTGATTACTTTTTAATAAAAAGAGAAATCTTTAAATTTTATATAAGCAAATGTTCATCAATCAAATTTTTGGATTTAAACTTTACGGAAAGATATTATCAATTATCACATGATGATCTTATGAAATATCAATTATTGAAATTTCCTGGTTCAATTAATTGTTTCTCTGAACTTATGGAATTACATTGTGATTCAAATATTGATTCATCAATTTTTTATGGATTTGCAGAAATTTGTAAATTTATTCAAAAGATTTATATATATCAATTATATGATAATCCTGGATTAATTGAATTAATCAAGGTTCAAAAAAATTTGAAAAAATTCAAATATACTGCAAGTAAATTTATTAAATATAAGATAAATGAATTTACTGGTATTGGTAAAGCTTTAGAAAATAATTCTGAAACTCTCCTTCATTTTAAAGCTTTAGATGATTTATATGGTAATTGTTTTATTCCAGGGGTTTTTTCAAAATTTAAAAATTTAGAAAAATTAATCTTATTTAGATTATGTTATTGTTTTCAACAATATGAATTTGAAGAACAATTATCTTTTACTTCATTTCCTAAACTTAAAGTTATTCATATTCAAGATGCATCAATTTATACTGTTAAAAAAATTATTGAAAAAACTGATGGAAATCTTATTAAGATTGCAATTTATGATATTGAATATAAGAAAGATTATGATAATAAACCTTTTCAAGATCTTATTCAATCAATTTATAAAAATTGTCCAAATTTAAAATTTCTTAGATTAGAAATTAAAGATGAAATTTTGGAAGATTTTGAAAAATTATTAATTACTTGTAATCAATTAGAAGGTTTAGTTATAGAATCTTGTCGTTGGAAAATGTATAATAATTATAATATTAAGAATTTATTATTATTATTGGCTAAATCTTCTCCAATTAATTTATTTAAATTTAAATTTTATTATTATTGGGATTTTGATCAAATTTCTTTAAATTTATTTTTTGAAAATTGGAGAGGAAGAACACCATTAAAATTTTATATGGTTGATACGGATAAATTTTTATCGATATTCGAAAATTATAAAAATGAAGGTATTATTGAAAGATATGAAGATATTGAAGATATTTATTTTAAATGTTTCGAATGGTAAATTATTAAGATTGGAAAAAAATAAAGAAATATTGCAAGTATTTATCGCATGTTCACGTGACACAAATACGATACATATATGAGATAATTTTCGTTGCGAACCATATAATACTCGCCTGATTCATGTAAAAATATCACAACTATATTAAAACTATATTAATGGTTAAACTTTAATTAATTCAAGCAAAATTTATTATTACTATTTATTAATATTTTTATGTACGTATATATACGTCAGTTACGAAAACATCAAATACAAATTTTATTTAAATACTTTATTTAATTCATCTTTACCTTCATATATTAGATTTGTTAATTCTTTTGCTATCCCTTCTCCTACTTTATAATCTTCAACAATTTTAGGAATATTAATCTTACCAACCCTATTATTAACTTTTGCAAAAGATTGATATAATCCCATTTTATCATCATCATCCAACCCATCAAGAAGAACATCTAGTAAACTTAAATATTTATTTTCAGCAAATTCTTTCTCAGAATCATCAACTCCGCTATCAAAGCAATCCGCTACCATGTCTATTAATTTTATCCCTCCTTTGCCAGTCGATTTTCTATAATACTCGGTAGCTATGTCACTATTTTGTTCAACAAAAATTCCATTTTCATACATCAACCCAAGATTGTACTGAGCTACATGATGTCCTAAATCTGCTGCTTTTTTATATAATTTATATGCTTCCTTCTTATCAATTTCAGTACCAATTCCTTTACTATGACAATATCCTAACATAAATATTCCCTCTTTGTATCCTTCTCCGGCAGATTTCTTAAATAATTCAAAAGCTATTTGGTAATCTTGATCCACAACTTCTCCTTTCCTATACATTTGAGCAACATTATAATGAGCATTACTATGTCCCAATTTTGATGCTATTTGAAATAATGAAAATGCTTTTTGCTTATTAATACTAGTTCCAATTCCGTTATAATAACACTCTCCTAACATATTTATTCCATTTAAATATCTTCCTTCAGCTGATTTCGTAAAGAATTCAAAAGCTAACTTATAATTTTTGTCAACTACTTTACCATTTTTATACATACGAGCAACATTGTATTGAGCTATATTATGTCCTTTAAATGCTGCCTCTCGATATAACTCAAATGCCTTTCTCTTATTAACAACGGCTTCAATTCCTGAATTATAGAATTCTCCTAGTAAAAAAATTGAATTTGAATCATTTTGGTTATCTAATAACCAATCAAAAATTTCTTTTGAATTGTATTTATCAAGAATATCTTCAATATTTTCCCCATTAAAAATAAAATAAACTATTTCATCAATTATTGGAATTACACTATCATCTCTTCTAAAATTTGCATTATTGATTTCATTTATACTATTAGAAAAAAAATTCGAATCTTTAATCTTGCCACTATTTGATACACTATTGTCTGAGCTATCTGTACTTTCGTTTTTCGTTACTTCGATTGTATCTTTAATTTCAAATTTATCAACGAGAGAAAAATCTGAACTTCTAGTTTCATAATTATTTGAAATCATATTATCCAAATTATTTATTTGATCATTGCTTTCTTTTTCTTTTTCCGTTACTTCTATTACTTCTATTGTTTCTTTTATTTCAAATTTATCAGCGATAGAAGAAATATTCGAATCTTTAATTTCGTCAACATTCGATATAATAAAGGTGATGTTGTTATCTAAGTTATCTGTTTTGTCGTTACTTGTTTTTTCTTGTTCCCTTATTTCTATTGTTTCTTTTATTTCAAATTTATCAGCGACAGAAGAAGAATCCGAATTTTTAATTTCATTAATATTTGATATATTGTTATTTAAATTATCCTTTGTTTGTTCTTGTTCTATTAACACTCCTAATTCATTTATAATAAATTTACCAATAGAAGAACCGTTCGAATTTTTATCTAGATTTTCTAATGCTACATTTAGTTCACTTGTAGGAAATTTAATATCAGAAGAAAATGGTGAATTTTTAATTTCATTAATTTCATCGCTATTTAATACGGTGTTATGATCCTTAATGGAATTATCTGTTTGGTCTGTTTGGTCATCATTGGTTGATTTATCAATAAATTTTTTTAATCGATTAAGAACTTCTTTCATATTTGGACGATTATCTGGGTTTCCATCCCAACACTCTAAAAACAAAATAGAATAAAATAAATAAATAATTGAGAATGTAAAATGATAATGAGGTTGATTATTGTAATGATTATAAACAATAATGATTATAATATATATATATATAATATTTACCTGTATAAAGTTTAGAATAATCTATAGGTGTATCAGGAATAATTTTTTCTCGAGTACCTTGTGAAATATCCAAGCTTAAGAAATAACCTTGTTTTTCATTATTTGCGAAAGGTGGTTTACCACTGGATATTTCCCATAATAATACTCCAATACTATATACATCACTCTTTTTATTTAATTTATATTTACTGTTTTCAATCTTTTTTGGATCAACATAAGGAGCAATACCGAATAATTTTGATGTACTTTTGGATGACGCTGATACTTTTTCGATTCTTTTTGATAATCCAAAATCAGCCAATTTGATAGCATCTTGATGAACCAATACATTGTTAGAGTGCTATTATAAATGAAAAATAAAAGGAATATAACATAAATATTAATAACTTAAAGTTATTTCATAATTCAACACATAACCACTCTTACACGCTCAGTAATCACGTGACGTAAATATAACGACACAGGAACGGAACAAACCTTGTGTAAACCGAAAAAAAATAATTAATACAGTATAAATAAAATAAAATTACCAAATCACTATGTACAATTCCTTCATCATGTAAGCATGAAACTGCGCAAGCCAATTGGTAAGCGATTTCAAATCTATTATCCCAAGTAAGATCTTTCTTCAAATACTTTCGAAGTGTACCATGATTAGCATATTCCATTACCAATGAATAATGTTTAAATACGTTTTGTTCCCCTTCAAATACCGTAATCCCGTAGAAACGAATAATATTATTATGATAATCAACTTCGCGTTGAAGTTCCAACTAAATAATATAAATTGAAATGAATGTATATATATAATATATAGTAAAAATTATAAAGATTAGAAAATTACCTCTCGAGCGAGTTCTTTTGCAGTATCATTGTTTATACTATTAAAAGTTTTTAAAGCAAAAATCTGGTCCGAATCTTTCCAATTTGCACGGTAAACTGTTCCAAATCCACCCACACCAATTTTTTGGACATTACTAAAATCCTTATACTCATAAAATTTAAAAAATTTTTTAGCAATGGCTTCTTTAATCCATTCATTTTTATCGGACATGACGAATAATAATAATATTTGCTACTGCGGTAGGATGATAAAATATTATTTTAATATACGATGAGTAAGATGATAAATATTATTTAATATACGATGAATAGGATGATAAAATATTATTTTATATACGATGACTGAAAAAAAAAAAAAAATTTTCAAACTTTATAAGCTTTGAGTTTTCATTTATTAACGTTATTAGTTTAGTCAATTATGCATGTTTGATGAGTACCAAACGTCCTAACGCTATATTATAACTTTTATTGATTGTTTCTCGAGGACAAAAAAAAGGGCGTAAAAAAATTTTTTTATTGTATTATTTGCATATTAATATTTAAATTGTGGAACAATATATTATTTTCTACTATATTTATATTAATACAAATGAAAATATTACAATCAATTAAAGATGACTATTAATGTACTGGTGATAAGACTCCCATGATTCAAGAGAACCTACTTTCTTTGTAAATAACCGGTAAATTCAACACCTATTTTCAATGGGCTTATCAACTAAACTTTAAAAACTAGTTTAATACAAGTTTATGTAGTTTCCTATAAAACCATTTACAGAAAGGTTTAAAATCACATGATGACAATCTTAACTTTTTCCAATTATGCATGTAGACAGCCAACTTTATAAAACCCGTTCGTGCCTTTAAAAAAAAAAAAAGAATAATGAAAATGGAATTTAAACGGAGTTTAATTAGCGTCGCCAAAGTGACCACCACGCGTTGTGTCACCGTAGGAACATTCTTTACCGCCATCGTATCTTTTATATCGTTTTTACTTCGGCATATTTTAATTGTTAGTCATATTTATTATATTTATCGTATAAACAACTAGTTTATTATATGAATAATCAAAAACTTTACATGTAAAGAAAACAATAAAATTAATTTACGTTGCATGGACTTTCATGCACAGCTTCTGCTGTTCTTTGAGCGGTTTTTTGTAACGATTCAATTATTTCAACCATTTCTTCATCGTTTTGGGAATTACTTTGAAGTATCTCTGCTACAGCCCCTTCAGCTGATTTCTTAATCATTCCTAAAATTTTTTTGCGATCTTGTTTCTCAATAGCATCTCCAACTTCAGTAAATACATTTTCAGCCTCTTTACACATTTTAAGTACTTTTTCTCTTTCAGCTCTTAATCTTTCACTTAAATTGTTAGAACCTGAATCTTGTTGATTAATTAATAAGTGGTCGTAAGTTTGTTGTGATTTGACGTTATTATTTTTGTTACGATCATTAAAAATATCTCTATCAATGACATCATCAAGCTCTTTTTCTTGATTCTTATTAACTATGTCATTAATTATTCCATTAACCATCGTGCCAATTGGTTTCACTATTTCATTTTTAAATTTTATACAATCTACAACTCCGTTTGTAACAATTCTATTAATATCATTGGAGGAATAATTCGAACGATCAGCATTAGGATCACGTCCTAATTTATTCGTTTGATCATTTTTTGCGTTTTTTGCATTTTTTACATTGTTTTCATTTTTTGCATTTTTTGCAGATTTCAATTTATCAACTACTTCATCTATAGTTGGACGATTATCTGGTTCTTGATTCCAACATTCTAGAAAAGAAAAGAAAGAGAGGTAAGTATTTAACTTAAAAAAGTTTTACAAATCATGATATTACAAATCAAATATTACTTTTTTTTAATATTAAAATAAAATTATATTTACCAGTATAAATCTTAACATAAGATTCAGGTGTTCCAGGAATTGGTTTTTCTCTATTACCTTGAGAAATTTCATAAATTAAACCAATATCATACGCCTTGCCATCATTATAAAAAGGTGGTCGACCGCTAGATATCTCCCATAATAATACACCGATACTGTATACGTCACTCTTTTGGTTTAAGTTATATTTCCGATTTGTAAGTCTTTTTGGGTCGGTATAAGGAATACTAAATGGTCTTGTTTGATTTTTAGATGCTTCTTCAATCCTTCTTGTCAACCCAAAATCGGCCAATTTAATAATATTTTGATGAACTAATATACTTTTTGAATGCTGTTTATAAAATGTATAAAATAAACCGATAAATATTTTAAAAGGTTATTATTATATAAAGAAATAACATTTTTACATTGCGATGCATCCTATAGAACATACCACAATGTAGATGAATTAAAAAAATTACCAAGTCAAGGTGAACCATTTCCTCTTCATGTAAATATGATACCGCACCAGCCAATTGGTATGCTAATTCGTACTTATTATCCCAAGTAAGACGATGAAAGTTATTCTTTAAATAATTTCGAAGGTTGCCACTGTCGGCGTATTCCGTTACTAATAAATATTCTTTCGTTTTGTCTATTTCATTTTCTAATTTAAAAAAAGAAAAATATTATTATTTTTTTTAATTTTACGATCGAAAAATATATATAATTTAAGATAATAATTAATTATTAAACGTTTTTTCAAACCTTTCGTTGTAATCCCATAGAAACCAATAATGTTATTATAAAACTCAACTCTAAGACGAAGTTTAAGCTAATAAAAGTCTTTGTTAATACAAAAAAAAAAAATATTTATATACAAATATTCGACTTATTTATAATTACCTCATGAACAAGCTCTTTAACAACGAGATTGTCAAACTTTTTAAAAGATTTTAATGATAAATATTGGTTCGATTTTTTCCATTTTACACGGAATGTTTTCCCGAATCCTTCGGAATCAATTTCTTGAATATCATTGAAATATTCATATTCGTAATATTTGATACGTTTTTTAGAAATAGTTTTTTCAATCCAATTAATCGAATTTTCTGTATCTGTTTTATAAGACATATTTTGATAATTAAAAAGAAATTACTGTGAAAAAAAAGTTGCGTTTTATTTCGAAAGAAACCTTTTTTTTTTTTTTTGAGGAATGAGGAAATTCAATATTATTTATAATTTTCGTAATTATAAATAGCGTAATAAAAAAATTTTGGGGAAAATTGTTATCTATTCAAATTCAGCGATGAATGAATCAGCCTTAAGGAAAAAAAAAAAATTTTCTTTTTCGTTATTCCTTTTTAGTTGTAGAACTAGATAAAATTTTTTCATTACGCTGTAGTCAAATGACTATATTTTATATAGGTATATGATCGACACAGAGACGTTTCCCAAAAAAAGCTGTAAATGGATCCTTTTACATTTTAATTATTCTATAAACAGTTAAACCAAATTTTTTTTTTTTTTGTTTTGCCAGAGTACTACAAGGGATTTTTTTAATACTTTGTATTTTTTAATTATGATATTAAAAAACAGACGTCAGCCTTTTATTCTAATTATATACTAGTTAAAAGCACAGAAACAAAACTTCGTTTATAAGGAAACTTTCAAAGAGGCGTAGGCGTAGGTAAGCCACCTTTAAAAAACAGTAGCTTCTAACATATAATTTACCAATTAGATCACTAAAAAAAAAAAAAAAAAAAAAGAAGCGGTGCGTTAAATAAAGAATTTCATATTTCTCTGTTTTGAAAACAAAAACACCAAATAAACAGCTGATGGTAAATGGTAATGGTCAGTATCATGCAGATTAGATGTTACAGCAACAACAGGTTATTTTTCTCTAAGCAATTTTATTTCACATGGCAATTTAATTCGGCACTTAGCCATTTACGTTCCATTGTCACGTTTAGATTGTCCCTGTATATAAATAATTAATTTGTGTGTAACAATAATGTACGCAAAGCAGATGGTAAGCCAAAAATAACTATCATTAAATCTATCAAATCTTATTGGTTCAATATTTGAATATTATATGATTATATTTATTGTATATATTATCAAGAAAAATTTGTTTTTAATCATAGTAACAAAGCCATTGACAAAAATTATTTAAATAACAAGGCTCTGCTTTATTTTTGTAAAATAGAAATGAAAAATAATAACCTTCAATCTTGATTACTCTTTGTCTTACTTATACTTCCATCTGATTAAACACCAAAGATTAATATGTTGATTAAATCTTGCTTCTATATAAAGACGAAGGATCATTCCCATTCTCATTTAAAATCGCTCGGGCTATCATTGTATTCCGTGCAGTTTCCAAAGAACTATTACTTCAAATTTTAATCTCATTGCCGTCTTTCTGAAAATAATTAATTGACAATTAGAGTATTTGCAATTAAAACAGTACCCTTAATTCCCTAATTTATAGATTAAATTGAAATTAATTAAATAACTCATTCAAACTTTGAAATCAGTCCATTAACATCATTGGTATTTACATTTTGATACACTTGTTTTGCAAGGTTGAGATAATAACAATAAATCCCGTGTACTATTATTGTTGTTTAGAGGAAGTATCTTTACCTCTTTTAAAAATTTTAAAAGCTAAAGCAATTCCATATAAATATATAGAAATTTAATTAAAAGCACTAAAGGAAACCTTCTGAGATAAGTATGTTATGATTCTCTAAATAGTAGAATGCTTATTCAAACAATTCAGGAGCAATCATTTCTGTAAATACGATTGGAGTAACTCATCAAATTGATTGTAAAGAGGTGATTTAAATATTTAAATAAATATTTAAATTCTTTTAGGAATCATAACTATATAAACTTACCTCTAGATTAGCTCATGGTTGGCAGTATTTTGTATTGAATTCCCAAATGTGATGGCGACCACTTCAATGACAGTTACAGATATACAAGAAAGGATCAGTCAGTCATAAGATCATGTGATACAAAAATAAAATAAAAATATTTTCCTTTAAAATCCTCATCAACATCTTCAACTTGAGAAAGATAAAAAAGATGGGAACTAGCAATAAAATTGCCTTGGAAGAGAAAAAAAAGGATAACTGGGATCAAACAGACATTATCATTTTCATAATAAATTAAACAAGGCCACCCTTTAAATAAATAATCAATGCTACATAGATTAAAATAAATTAACAATGGATATTGTAAGATTAACAGAATTTTTCCTAATTGTACAAATTTAGAAAAATTATTTTTTAATACTCAAATGCAATTGGTATTAATATAAGAATTGTACAAGCAAACAAGTGCAATTTTAAATTTGATTGAAAATAATAGGATTTTTTCTAATTACACATATAGAAAAATTATCCTTTAATACTCTGTCAATAATGCAAATTTATCAGGAATATAACTCATAAATTTCACAAATTTAGGGTAATCAGAATATTAATAATTAAAAAAATTGTACAAACATACAAGTGCAAGTTTTTTTAAAGGCAAATTGGAAATTTAGTTTATGGTGATTGATATGAAAGTGCAAGGTGGGCGTAAATGGAAAAAGTATTTAGGAATGGCCTTTTTTCCACACCTTAAATACCTGGAAAACTTCATATCTACCAAATAATATATATTTTAATATTTTAATCTTGTTCAAAAGTTGTTATTAGACAAGAAAAACAAACTATAGTAGAGTTTAAAGTGAAGGATGGTTTAGACTAGGGAGAAAAATGGTCTCCACTTTTATGGTGTTTGGGGCTTTTTTTTTAAAAAAAAAGTTTCCTCTTGTTATGTCAAGATTGTAAGGTTATTTAAAATTATTATAAATATATCAAGTTAGCACTAAGAACACATCAAAGTATTGCAAAACTAATAAATTTAATCATGATGGAAATATTTACAAGAAGAACAGAAGCATGGTTGATACTGATTGGCAAATTAGTTAAAATATTAAATATTACTTTTTTTTAAGAACATTATTGCGATTTGTGATCAGGTGATTTATAGATCAATTGGAAAAAATTTTATATGTTAACATCCTGTTTTTTTGAAATAATGTTGAAAGCAGATAAGAAACTTCTGAAGCAAAATGCTGAATCTCTCTCAGAGTTGACCAGGACTCAAAAGGAATCCTGGGATGCACAGGTTAAAGTCTTACATCAAAAAAATTAGAATTATAACAGATATGTACGAAATCACAGTTAATCATTTAAAAATTTTGCTGGTATGATGAATAGGCAAAAGAAGAATATGAACCTATAGTCTATAGATGAATAGAATAAAGTAATATATATAATGAGATATTAAATCCAATTACCAATGAAGAATGGGAGGAAATGGTTAAATCAGTTCCATTAATAAGGCTTGTGGACTTACATTTGAAAATTGATGAAAGTGAAAATCTTCAATTATTTCTATAGTTAAATATTATACTTTTAATTAATTTAAATCTGCTCATAAAACAATTACAATTTATAAATTTATAACATTAAAAAAATCAGGCTTATCTCTGATTAATAGAGGAATTGTCTGTAGACATTATTTCCAAATAATGCTAATTTCATTTACCAGTACAAATAAGTTAGAATTTATATTTAATAGATTATACATTATTTATGACATTAATGCATTTAAGGATCTTGAAAGGAACAAAAGAAACCATGTAAATGCAAAAATTTTTTTTGAACATATTTATTCTTTATGATTAAGACAAATAATCAAATTGAAAAAAAAAGAGTAATTTAATGAATATTCCACAGTTTGTGAAAGTTTTCAGTCAAATCACCACAAGATTTGGAAGCACATTTTGCTGGCTTTTTTTGTGGCTAATGCTTTAATGTAAAGTCAACAAAAATTACTCTTTATATAATTTCATTTCATTAGATATTTATGTAAATTCCCATAAAATCTCTTCTCATTATTTATTAAATCTCTTCCTATTTTTTTTAAAAAAATCATGATTTCTAAGTAGATTAATAATTATAAATTCTGAAAGACAAATAATTATAGATTTTATTAGTCTAATCTACAGTAGATGGAGAATACAGTCCAATTGGATGGGAATTTAATATACTTATTAAGAGAGCATTATGAGAGTATCAAAAGTTGCAAATGAATTAAACTGCATTTTGAATTTTTGATATTTGTAAACAATATAAAGCAAAATGAATATGTCATATGCCTACATATTACAAAAAACTAATTTCACTCAAGAAAAATTCAATCAATTTATATGTTGCACCACATTTATAAAAAAATAAGTATAAATATGAACTGAAAACAGGAAAATGTTTATACCTGCCTATTACCAATTCACCAGGTTTCCTTTAAACTTAACATTTAACCAACTTGTATAATAAACAAAATTATCCAAGAGGTGAATGAAATAACTGGGAATTGTGGATTTCATCTCAAGACTTGGTGAAGCTTATGATTGAATATGTTACAATGAAACCTATTTACTACAAAATAGAATATGATAAGTGAGTAATTCCACATGATTTAAAGTGTTAATAATAAATTAAGAATTAAATAAAATAATTAAATATTAAAAAATGCTTTAAGCCAAAAAGCACTAATATGTTTATATCTTTAATGTTTAAGGCCTTAAAAGCAAAAATAATGATTTATTATGCAAGGTTCATGAAAGTATTTCTTGGATGTAGTCACCTGTAGATGGAGTTTTTATACCTTTAGAGTTGTCTGTTTCTTAGATGGGACACCTGAAAACAGGTCTATAAAAATTATTTTGTTGTTGTTACTAAAAGACATATTTATAGCCAACAAAACTTCTAATCATATGATAAAGTGGGTAAATTTTTTTTGTGTGTGTGTTTGAGGCGTGAGTCGATCCTACAGAATGGACAACTCTATAGTTGTGATATGTGATTAAAGATAGACATCTAATTGTCACGCTGATTTCAACATAAGTCTAGTACTTTATTATTCATCTGTCAAATTTATCATATGAACTGGTAATTATATTACAAATGTTTAAAAGAATAATTAGTAAATATCAGTATTTAGCTGAAAATTATACTTTTATCAACAATGAAAAATCCCTGCAAGAAATAAATCTAATTATAGAATCAGAGCATATTAAGAAAAAGTTCTACTTCTCAAAAACGTTTATTTACTGAAATTATTAATTAAATTATTGTTACGTTACAAT